AGGAAAGTACGGCGGCCGTTCCGTTTTGGGGGGCTGCTCCGCAGGGCGTTGCGGATCCCCCCGGAAGAGGGGGAACTGGTCCAGGGGGGTCTGGGGCTTGGGCGGTTCGTCCCCATGGAGGAAGGATAGGTCAGGGGCACCGGGAAAGTGGGGAGGGAAGGGAGGCTCTGCCGGGGGTGGTTGGAACTGGGGTTGTTGTTGCAGCTTGGGGGGCTCGGTTTGGAGGCTTGGGTAGTGTAGCTGGATGGGAGGCTGCTCGGGGGTTTGAGGCTTCGGGACTTGTTGGGACTGGGCGACGTGGTTCTGCTGCCAGGCTGCATGCTCAGCAGCTGCCGCCGCCTTTGCGTCTGCACAGAGAATGCCCTTCTGACTGTGAGCCATTCGTTGGACACTTCAGGATGCTCCAATACAACGATTGGGCATTCCAAGCATCAAGGTGAGAATCGACAACGAACCTCAAACCGTTCTTGGGGTCGCCCTGGATTCGACGGCCGAAGACTGGATACACAGAAGCAGCTTATCCACGAAAAACGCCTCACTGCAATCAGGATACTAAGCAACAGCTTTCATCCCAAGGACTAGTGTTGCTCCAAGTAGAGGAAACGAAGATGTTTGCAGCATCAACAAAAGTAAGTGAAACCGACCTGGCACAGCTCGCTGGTACGGGGTGTCTGCCTCCGCTCCAGTCCCGGGCCTTGAGCCCCGCTCCAAGGTCCCCTCCCGCACCTCCGTCCTCCCCGCTTCCGTCTCCCTATGCTCGTACCCCGGAGGCATGCGCGGCGTTTTGGGCTTCAGGTGCGGCAGTGCGGTGCCCAGCGGCACGAACGGCGCCGACTCTGGGAGCGTGTGCCGGCGTACGGGCAGGTCTGCGGTGAAGAATCCTTGCTCCAACCACTGCTCGATGTCCTCCTGCGGGAACGGCCCCTGCGTCTCCCCCTGGGGGTCCTTGTACCAGTACAGCGCAGGGGGCTCGCGCCCCCCCTCCGTGTGCGCCTCGTCGTTTTCGTGCTCCCCCCCCGTCTCCCACAGCTCAGGCGCGGGCTCCTCTCTGCCCCCCCCAGAGAGCAAATCGTCCGGCAACAGATGTACCGCACTCTCCACGGGTTTCTGCGCACGCCCTTTGTCAGACTCGTCCTTTCGCCACGTTGATGCTTGGTCCGCCCGGTGAGGCGGCTCTTCGCTTTTGGGGGGTGGCGTCGCCGGCGCAACCCTCTTCTCCCTCTCGGCTGCCGCTTTGTCCTCCGCTTGCTTGCGCCACACGCGGTCTTCCTCTGCGAACCGGTTGCTCCGCCAGTCCTTCGCACCTGGAGCGTCGTCACCTGGCTTGGGCGCTTCCTTCGGGCGGACCTCGTCTTCCTTGCGGGGCGGGGGGCCGTCGTTGCGGCGCCAGGGTTGGTGTTCGTCGCGCCCTGCGCTCAAGATGTGCGAGACTGGATCAGAGGTGACCAATCCAAAGGCACTGATCACGAGGAGCCCAAGATCAGACTCTTTTGGATACAGGATGAAACTGTACGATCAGAGCAGAAGGTCACAGCAGAACACTTTGTTACAAGACCTCACAAGGTGAAAGTCCTCATACATGAACAGTGCTTCAGGCAATTCGAAGTTCCATCCCTTTCGAATCCAAAAGCAGAGCGAATATACTTGACGAGAGTCCGGTGGAGCGACGAGTTGCAGGATATTCAGCCACGTAGAGCGCAACTCCAATTTGATGTTGATCTGCACCGTGCAGCAGAGCAGTTCCCCACCTCTAGCAGGCAGAGCAGCCCTTTCAGCATCAGCAAAGCGTGCTTCTGCTGCTCTCTCGAACTGTGCGCCACCTGCGCCGCGTTGCGCGCTGAGTGCAGGGGCATCAAAGAAACCATCGTCGCCACCAGACTTCTCATCGCCAATACCTGAATGCACAGACGCGTATCAGAACGCTTGAGCAACACAAGAGCATCCTCAGCTGGAACCAAGTTGAATACTTGCGCCCGAAACATGTTTTCGACATGATCCCTCCTTGTACCAAAATATTGACAGCCACAGGTCGTGCCCAGAGTGCAATTGACCACAGCAGAATGTAGATAGTCCAAAGCACAAACCAGAATCATGTCCCGACATAAACTTGAGCAGCTAATCCTGAGAAGCCGTTGTACATGGTGCTGCCAGAGCTCCTGCTTAAAAGTTCCCCGCAATCTGCTGGCACGATCCTGGAATCACAAATGCCCTTGGGTTCAATCCTTCTCACGCTGACCAGCCAAATGAACATGCTTCACAAAATCAGCTGCCTACCTGGAGCAGCAGGCCTGGGTTGGCCCCTGCCTCGTCCTATGCCAGGCTGCAAAGTGTCCTTTGGTGGAGTCGGAGCCGCTTCAAACGCCTCCTTGTTGCGCGGCGGCGGGCGAATGGGCTCCCCCTTGCGGATGCTCTCATAGTAGCTCTGTGAGATGGATGCAATGCTTAGAAGTGGCATCAAGATCAACAAATTCTGAAACTCTGTAGTTTGCCTGCTTCGCTCAGACCAAATTCTTTGGCTGCCACCAAGCTTCATGATCGTCTGATATTGAAATAGAACAGACTTCATTTGAAAAGAACAATAGTTAGAAACACCACATGTTGCAATTTCCCAGCAATTCAAACTTTCAGTGTTTATAGCAACTTCGCTCCAAGCTTCTGGACGAGCTCAGGCAGAAAGGAATGAAGTAATTTGGCCCACCTTGTCCTCCTCATCAAGCGGAATGAACGCCAGCGGTTCCCCGCCCTCCTTCACGATGATCTCCTCCACCTCCGCTGTCGTCTCCGGCTTCTTCAACCGGGCCGTCCCTCGCACCTTCCGATACACCTCGAGCATTGTCTCCTTCGAATACCGATGCGCCCTCGGCTGCTCCTGCACCCCCTCCCTCTCCGGCAAGGGCGTCTGGTGGTCCCAAAATGCCCCCACGAAACCCCCTGCCGGCGCCCCAATCGGCGGCCGCTGCTCCTGTGGGCCCGCAAACCCAGGCGCCCTGCCGCGCCCCCGACCCCGTGCAAACCCTCCAGGGGGGATGGCAAACCCAGTGGGTGGCGGATCAGCGCCGCCCCTGCCCCTTCCCGTTGGTCTCCACGGATCATTCCCCGCACGGCGGAAACCTGCATCTTCGGGGGGCGCTCTTGGCCCAGGAGGAGCCCCACCGTCCCGCTCCGGCTCAGGCCCCCATTTGTTCCGAGGAGGGGGCACCTCCTTGTCTCTGTCGTTGTCCCACCGGTTACCCCCCCACTTGCGAATCTCTCCGCCTGCGTCGCCCCACCGCTCCCTCCTGTGATCAACAGCATGCCCTCCAGCGCCATCGGCGGCGCCCCACTTGTTTCCCTCCCCTGCCTTGTCAACCTGCCAACGATCACGAAACCCATTGGCGGCCCTTGCCTGCGCCCCCCCTTCGCGCTCCTCATCCCGCCAACGGTTGTCGGGGGGCCGACTGGGGTCCCCTTCTGGCTCCCAATCAGCACCGCTACCCCCCGGCTTGCGCCATTCAATGTCCTTGTTGAAGGGGCGAGCTGGCGGCGGATCTTTCCCCCAGCGAGGCTTGTCGGTACCCGGGTAGCCAGGGGGCCCGGCAGGGCTGCGACCAGCATCCTGAAAAGAAGCCAATAGCTTACGTTATGGAAGGAATTGGGTCAAGTGTATTTGCCTGCAACTGAAAATTCAAATGCAGTGTGAAGAACCATTACCATGAGCTGCTTGTACTTCCCCGCAGCTACTTGGAGAAAAGCTCCCAAGTTTACTGTTGCCACAATCAGCATGATATAGGAGACAAGCCAGGAGCTATATCTTAGAGAATAGCTTGCGGTCTCATTGAATAGTCTCCGGAGCATTCGTGCACCAGAAGCAGAGGCAATCCTACTTCGCATTTGGAATTCAGGGTTGGGCCAGCCATGGCCGTAAATACGCTAGCTCTCCAAACAAGTTACCAGGTACACATTAGGACAAAAAGTCCAACAGTTCCAAAGCATGACTGATTGACCATTTGGAACCACATCCTGAACCCTAATGAGACTGGTGCGCTTTTCTCTCAGAAAGATATGGCTACTCATAATAACGACTCACTTTCGGCCCAGGTGATTTCAACCACTGGGGTTGCAAAGAAGGCCCGTCGGCACCCCTTGGTGAATCTGCAAAGGGAGGCCGGAAGCCCTGATCAGGGTGGTCGTTTCTGTGCTGTATGCATGCAGTCTACTGTGATTGCCTGATGTTTGCAGAGGTCTCAGAAAACTCATAAAACGATGTACAATATGCCTGGATCGCTCTACTGTCTGACCAAGACCTTAATCAACCTCAAGAAACCCCAGGAAACCCCAAAAGCCCCTGATTGATATCACACGAGCTTCACCCACCTTTGCCATCCGATTCAAGCACAACCAACCTCGAACCACCACCAGCTCCTGTTACATTGAAGGGATGCATCTGAAACTATTCTTTTGCAGAACCACAAAGTCAGGGCTTGACTGACTCAGGAGCTTTTCGAAGTTATTGAGCTCTGCTGCTCCACACATGTAAGCCCTACCGCAACTGCTCTTTCCAAGACCTCAATGACATGCTTTCTTCCCCCAAATTTCATTCTCCAATTGCATCACTGCTTGAGAAAGCATTCTGGCAACTCTCAGGGCAACTATTATCCTCTTCCTGCTTAATCAAGAGCTCATTGACAAGCAGCCAGTTGTTTCTGAAGTCACTATCCATTTTGAAAAGTTGCAATCAACTGATAAACGATCAGTCCATTGTGGAATACCATTTCAAGACTAACGACATATCGACCTTTTGCTTGGAAAAGATAGTTCAAACCCTTACCAGTAGGCCTGCCTGGACGAAAACTCAGCGTGCTTCCGTCATCCTTGGTCTTGGAATCCGCCATCACTTCACAAACACACGAGACACCTAAGGTTACGCTATGCCAATTCTGTACACTCGGGCAGCTAAGTCTAACTGCTAATGTACAGTAGCTCGTTGACGTTGAGTGCTAGCTCTACCAAGCCACAGAAAAGCAACACCACTCTCGAGTTTCCAGGATGCTTGGAAGAACACTTCTCCAATGCGTCGCAGGACAAGCATAAACCCCAGTACAAACACACCAGGATCTCAAGAAGAAGGACAGGCCTTCCCAAAAGAGGTGATGAAGAGGGCAGCAATTGGAAGCAATGAAACGAGGACGTTGCCAATGCAAGCGACTTGTCCAACTTCGGTGTGCGCGTCTACAAACTGCTGGCAGTGGAGACAAGCAATTGTCAATGTTATGACGAGGCAATGTGGATCCCTTCTTGAAATTCTGTAGACCTACTTCAACCTGAGGCCCAGGGCCTGCAGGCTGCTTCATGATTCGGACGCGTCGGAGTCGAACTTGAAGTTTGATTCAAAAGGTATTCCCTTCTGCGAGTCGTATGGCTTCAGCCCATCTTATACGTATGCGAGTCGGCAAACATCAAACGGAGAGGAATAGCAGGAACTGCCATGGAAGCGTCTGCGTATACGGCTAACGGAAGGCTATAAGTATAGGTACATCATGGCTAATACGAACAACGGTGGTCGCGCTTATGTAGCCTATTGGTACGGTATATGAAATACAATTTTGAAGGAAAGCTGAGACTCTGGCCCAGGGTCAGACCGTAGACGGCATTGTGCTGTTGTCATTGATCAGTGACATTGAAGCCCACCTGGGCGGCGCTCTGCGTGCCATTCTTCATCAACTTCTCCTTTCTGTTTTGCCGGCTGTCAATTGTACATCTAGGACGGCAAGAACAATCCGTGATGGCTTTGCAATGGGTGCTCATGGGTTCGGTTGCGATACTTGAAGCCGTCATCCTCGTCTTCCTGTCTTTGCCTCTGCCACATGCTTTGCGGAAACGGACAGTCTGGGTAGTGGAGAACTCGCTGCAGCCTATGCTTGCAATAGTACCTTTTGCCATCTTCCAGCTCACAGGTGAGCGTCGATGGAAGCTGCCCTTGAAAAGCTCGCTCCTGCTCCTTACTGGTGTTGAAAGAAGGGGCTGAGCTGCTTCCTTGCATGCACAACCACAGAGGTAGACCTGCCCGCGTCAGCTTAGTCAACAACATGCAGGTCATGGATTTGGTCAGAATTTTTGGTATTGCTCTCAAGTCAACCACTTTGTACTTGATGCTCTTGTGAACTTTGAGTAGACTGCAATATCACTTAAACGGAGTGGTGCATGCTGGGTCGTGCTGCACGTGGTTCTTATGATTGCTTCCGCAAACCTGCAGAAACCACTATTTGAACCTCCTTATACGTTGGCAAGCACCAAAGGATAGTTTGGGTATGTTAGAGCTGATGGAAGATGGATCAGCTGAGCCCCTCATTCGATGCTTTTCTCCGTTTGCAGAGGTGTACTTGAAATGGGAGGCAAGGATGCGGTGTGCAGGAGTAAGTATGTCGGCTCGTTTCTATTTGTTTTTGTCTATCGCGTCCCATGAGAAATTTTTTGAGCCCTGTTATGCAGCTTTCGTGCACAGGTTGTAAGAATACTGATGCAAGTGTGTTCACAAACGCACGCTCATAACAGCACTGATGGGGGGTGGTGTGGCTTGGCATAGATTGGTATGAATTGAACATGGGAAGACTGCTTTTGAGATGAAGACAATTATCTTTCTGAATATGATAAGCGGACACTTGTCCTTAGATTAGTGAAATTCGGGACAAGTCTTGACATAGCAAAGTAGTGGTAAACTGGTTTTAGCATGATCAGGGAAACCCAATTGTGTAAGTGAGCAGCCCCTTGAAGACTCAAAAGAGAAGGTGGTCCCTAGATTGAAGTCCTGCTTTGAAGGACCTCGCTGGGCGAAGTTGGATTCGCATGATCCACAGGCAGCCTGTAGCTTTGGAAAGCGAATCTTTGAATCAGGAAGGGCTTAATTCAGAGTTTGTGACTGGCTTGATCTTATGAGCTTCTTCCTTATTGATGGCCAGTGTTGGCTGGATTCGCAAAGCCAGAAATCGATATGGCATGCAGATTATCCTTTGCAAATTTTGGACAACAGTCTTTGAGTGGCCACTCATTCACAGAAGCTCTCCGTCTCTTGCAGGAAGTCTGCACGGTGGCAGATAAAGACCGGTTTGACAAGGCGATGATGAAGACGCAACGAAACGGTGTTCTGGCGTTTTCGGCACTCCTGCTCTATTGGTGAGGCTCATGGGTCTTTTGGAAGCCAATCAGACGGTGCTGACGAGATTGGAGTACGCTTCCGGTGGCATGTTTGATGCCATCCCCAAGGCTTCGACTTAAGGGTTGCAATCTTGTTATTCTGGTCCATTGTCGAGGAGTGCGAGCGTTGCAACTCAAGGCCTTTGCGAAATCTGAAACTGAAAGGCCCGACTTCGAGAGAACGTTGTGACATGTGGTTTAAACGGGAAAGCCTTGAAGGTCCAGGCTTCATGCAAAATCCCCTTGCGTCAATCACTTCTTCATTGATGGATGTTTTTGACTATTGTACCAGCTGTTAACCCGGGTAGAGCTTCCTTTTCACCCTGTCTTCCCTCCTTGCAGGATCCTGTTTCGGTTCTGCAAAACATTGAAGAAGCTCTCGCTTATGGAAGACAAGCTGAGAGTCCAGAAGGACGAATGACTGAGGTATACACGAGAGTAGCTTTTAGTGCTTTGCTTGTTGTATCATATGGATAGGGGCTGCATATTAACATGTCGCTTGTGTAGATTGTCATACAAAGTCAATGACGTCGCTGCACAATTAGAAAATCCAGCCGAGACACATACCCTGACCATCGTTCATAGATTTAGCAAATGCAAAGTTGCAACTTTCAATTCCGAATGTAATATCGAGACAAAGTATTGCATGGCAAATGAAGATGTTGAAGCTGTAAAGTGGCACTGATGTCTGAACGATCTTTTGCTACAGACTTATAACTATATAATCCTTACACATACTGGAGGATAACCGGAACTGGATGATGTTATGAGCGGATACGTGTGCACTAGCTCTGGACGTGCTGTTCTGATCTCAACCAATTGGCCGCCTCTTAGGGATGTCCCCTAATATGAGCCACGTACCAATACACCTAATCGAGATTCGGCGGTGCAATCAAATGAACCATGGAATAGTATGTTCTCATGCATAGCTGCCGCCCCATTGTGCATATGCATTGAAGTGCTGATCCTCAAAGAATCAAAGGAGGATGGCCCTTCATTCGCGTCAGTAATTTGGGCGACGGTATAGTAAGGAGTGCAAAAGTCCATTGGAATTGGCGTCAAACTTAACATGTTACATGGGGCATGCGCTGAATCTTAGAATTGCCATGGGAGCAATTGGTCTGTTGGTTTACGAAATCGAGCAATTCAAAGTATATTCAGCTGATCCAACATCGACAGCTAGCTGCAAAGTACAAATAATGATGAACGTTGAGAACTGCATGGTTTGTAAATTGTGACCCCCTGCAACTTCAAGGATGAGCACAATCCACAGACTTAGAAGTTAGGACTTTACAGTCGACCGAGTATTACTGGCCTCTGGGCCAAGGCATCGTGGCAAAACACTTGTGCAAGGGCGTCCGGACCTCCGAAAAAAAACCGGCCACCAGGGGGGTGCGAGCAGAAATAGACAGGAAAAACACCGGCCACCAGGGGTACCCATGCCCCGTCGCAGAATAAATTGAGATTAGATAGATATACGAGATGGGGCCTGCAATCAATTACTCCACGTTTAGAAATCAAACCAATCTACGGTACTTACAATGGGCCAGTGTGCGATCCAGAGCCGTACTTACAAAGGGCTAACTAGTGTGCGATTCAGAGCCGTATAAGGCACTAACCCAGTTACATATGCGGCTGGACTCTTCAATTTTTGACAGAGCCCGTTTGACCATCTCGTCCCAGACCGGTCGGTTGGTGTGACGTGTCCCATGCGGCTTCTCGCAGGGGGCCGGCAACACGTTTGGTACATGTATACGGGGTTGAGTGGTTACTTATAGGCAGATTTTCCGACGATATTGTGGGTTTTGAATGCTGTCGAAAATGTTCAACCGGGCACCGGCCACCAGCCCCCTCGACTCTTTGCCAGGGAGCTCCGAGAACCGGCCACCAGCCCCATCAAGGAAATCCGGAAAACCGGAGGTCCGGACGCCACTGCACAGGTGTTTTGACACGATGCCCAAGCAAGAGCTCTACCTGTAGGCTCTAACAAAATTAAACATAGACGTATTTCAATTTTCAAACCTCGAGATCCTCAGGCCACAAACAAATGCATACGAGCCTTCCGATGTGTGAATCGACGTCAGTTGATCAAGCCTTCGGATTCAGATCCGAAGGAATCTGGCCGGGCACGAAGTACCGGAAGGTAGAAGGTGTTCAACGCACCGCGCAGTGCGCAGTCCACTCAGCAGTGAGCACCGTCCTCCGCATTGTGACTGGGCAGGCGGCCGGCCTGTTCCGAGCTGCTCCTTCGGATCATCGCTTCGAAGCGCCAAAGCAAGAGTTGCGATCCTCAGCCTCTGACTCGGTGGACTTGCGCTTGGCCTCCAAGCCAAAGTGCTGCTGCGATGCTGCGGCCCCTCTCTGTTGCATAGCCACGCCAATGGCGGCTGCAATTGCCAGAGCCGCAGGCATCCTGCCAGCGAATGGGGCCGCCCGGGCGGGGATCGAGGGGAGCCGCTATGATGGCGGCAATTGCGCGGCGCTTCAGTGCAGACTGGGTGTTCCTGGTCTACCATCTGCAGAGCTCAGGATTGATAACACGCAAAGTCCTGGAGTCAGGCAGGAAGTAATCAAGCAAAAAAAGGCCCAGGCTTCAGAAAGAGTAAGGCGGAGGCAACGTACCGCAATCATTGCGGCCAGCGGTGGTGCTTCCGTCCCAATTCAGGGGGGTGGCGATGGGGGCATTGCGGGGGGTGGCGGGAGAGGTAATGGTGGGGGGAGAGGCGGGGATAGAAGCGATGGCAGTGAGTCGGCCGATGGTCCAAAATCTTCCAATCCGCTCTCTGTGATCCTAGAAGGATGGAAGGAGCGTGTGGAAGCGGACCCCTCCTTCCCATTCAAAGTCCTCACCGAGCAGGTTATTGGCGTGTCTGCTTCCGTGCTCGGTGACATGGCGGGCCGGCCTAACTTCGGCCTTTCCGAGCTCGATTTCGTGTTCTCAACCATGATCGTTGGATCCATCCTCAATTTCTCGCTGATGTACCTTTTGGCGCCGACGCTCGCGACGGCGGGGGCCACTACTTTGCCCTGGATCTTCCACAATTGTCCGCCTGGGCACATGTTTGAGCCGGGCGGCTTCAATCTGCTGCAAAGGAGCGGTAAGATGGACCGAAAAGGTTTACTTTGCTGTCCGATTTTGATCCCCTTTTTCCGCCCTCTTTGTAAGTGGCAATCGGCGCTGGTTGTTTCAGATCTCAAGCGGCAATTTGCCCTTTTCTGTGATTCTTGGAGTTGGGCGGATTCAATCTGCTGCAAAGGAGCGGTAAGACGGACCGAAAGCTTCGGTATGCTGTCCGGTCTTGGCTGCCTGGTACTGCCTCTCTTCTCCGGGGGCAATTGGCGCTGATCTTCTCAGATCTTATGCAATTGCCCTGATCTTGAGATTCTTGGACATTGATTAGCATTCATGGCGCTTCTTCTTATCTGGAAAGTCGCTGCCCTCAGAGATATCTGTCTATGACTCCAAACCGTGAGACTGCTTCGCACTTTCACTAATTGACAAGCTTCCTGCTTTCCCTTCAATTCCAGGTAGAGCATGCTGGTCTTGGAGGGCTTTTACAATATGATCAGCTATCAAGAGGCTAACACACCGTACCTTACCAACGAGAAGTAGGCCCTACTCTTGTTCCCTGACGCAGCTTGTTGCGGTCTCGCAGGGACGTTCGTTTTCAAGGGCATCCAGTTCGCTGCCATCGGTTTCGCTGCGGGTTTGGTTGGGACAGGGATGACAAACCTGCTGCTGAAGGTGAGCGCCCATACTTTCCTTGGTGGCGTTATATGGAGCCCATTAATCTGTCCAGAAGAAAGCAATGGGATATGCCAACCTGCATCGAGGACTTTACCGCCGCAAGCTAGAGTCTGAGTAAAGGAAGGACAATCAAGAAGTGCAGCTCACGGGGATATTGCGATCAAGCCTGGTTGCTGGCTGACGATTAAGTACCGGGTGGCTCCTCTATCAGATCTCGTTCACAAAAGCCCTCATGAGCCCCAGAAGAGTTTGCATTTGGGCCAGGTCCTTCTTGCTTGCGAGTCAGCCTCTGCTACCTGTAGTCCGAATGTGACCAACTGTATGGTTCACGTTCTGGATGTCACTTTGCGCAACTAAAGTCTTGGTAAATTTTCAAGAAGTGATCTAGGCCTCAGCCCCTTCGAGCAATGGACCAGGAGAAGTTGTCCTTTCCGCTGAGGACCCGTTGTTCTTTGACGAATATTCTTTGCTCTGCCGTATGCAGCTGCGAAAGAAGATGGATCCTGACTATGATGGCAACTCGCCACCCCCCCTCGTGCTCAATGCTGCCACGTGGGCCCTCCACATGGGTCTGTCAAGTAACCTGCGGTACCAGGCTCTCAACGGGCTCGAGTTCCTCTTGGCCCCAAAGATGAATCCAAGCATCTTCAAGACTGGCGTCTTCCTTTTGCGCACGCTCAATAACGTTGGAGGAGGCGCTTCTTTCTCCATCCTAGCGAAAATGACAGGGTCCCAAAAAGCAAGAGAGCGGTAGGTAGAGCTCGACCTGTAGTTCGAGGAATCTTCAGACGTTTGGTGAAACAGCGAGCCTGCCCTGTGTTTGAAATAAGGTCGTGAGGTTTATTGATTACGTCACAGGTTCTTGCCTGGCCATTGATGGGCCTCAACCATCAACGTCGATTGGTGGTTGCCACATGCAAATTCAAGGTTATGCCGCGTGGTTGACTAGAGGGATAGCAGCCCATTCCGTAGTGCACCGGTGCGCACGGGCGGCCCAGATTTTCCTCTCTTCGACTGTGGTACAGGTCATGACTACAATTAAGCGCATCATTAGAAGGTGTGAATGTGAACTGCAACGTATGTTAGTCGGTGTAGTGACTGCGCGCAAAAGTACGCGTGGCCAGCCAATTGCGATCTATTGCATGCCAATGTCGCGGTAACATTGAACTGGCAAACCCGGGCGGCGGCGGCCATGGTCAGAATTTAAAGCCCTATGATCTGATGTAACCTGCACCTAGCTATACTATAAGCGCGTGGCTGCAGTGTCAATCTCACGCGACGGCGGGGACGAAAACTAGCATATGTTGACCCGGACGTACAGCGCCATGTGTGCACAGATGCACTCGACCATCATTGCATGCGTGTCAAAAAATGTAGTTAAGGCGGCTGTCACTATGGTGGCCGCTGCCGCACACACTCACGAGCTGGGCCCGGCCCGGCACGGGTCATGCATAAGAGCAGACAAGTACGTCCCGGCGACTGGGGCTATCGTTGTGATTGGGTGTGAACTTAATTTGTCACGAACGTTCCGCATGCAATCTCATTGCGAGAAATTTGTATGGCGCCATATCGACGCCGACATGCCAATTTGTATCTGATCTGCAACGTGCCTCAATTGAATATCTCTGCAACTATCCAACTGATAGTTTAGTATTCCTCAATTGGAATCCAGGATATCCTCCAACCAGAATAGGAGTGGCGTTGTCAGCGAGGAGCATGGCTCAAGCTTAGCATGACCGTGTAAGGGACTGTGAGATTTTGTAACCGTCCGATTTTCGTGTAATTCAATGCAACGCCCCTACGTCTAAGCATTTCCATGCTGAGTCGGAGCAAAAGAATTTAACGAAAGGCTCAAGACGCGTCGAAATTATGCACCATAGCTTCTCGTTGATCTCGTGGTCAGAAAACTTCTTTATAAGTGGCTCAAATCAGTGCTGTGCTAGCCTCTCCCTTGACTCCTGGCTAACGAGCCCCAAAGCATTGGCGATGGCCCGAGTGGCGGCGATCATTGCGATGCCGCTGTTGAGTTTGTTGATGGCGGAGCCCACTCCCTGAACGATCCATGCAAGACGCGGTCAGTGAGGAGCAGTCACGCTCGCTGCAAACCTTAACGGTACGAAAAGCACACACGACAGGATTAACCCGAACGATTCCTGCACTTTCTCACGCATCATCGAAGCAATCGGCTGCATTTCTCCTACCGTCGATCTAGATATTGCGGACTTGTTTCTGATGACCAAGCTAGTCGTGGCAGTCTTAGCCAAGGCGCTGAGCTTAAGCCTGCGGCTGTTCTCGCTGGGCCGTGTATCCAAAGAAAGATAAGAATCAGGCGTCCGTCAGCATCTGCCGAAAAGCGGAAAGAGGCACTCACGACACCCGCGGCCCCTGCGGCAATTGCCATTGATGCCGTCACGTCGCTGATCCCGGAGGCGCACATGACAGGAATCGACACAGCCCGCGAGATGGAGTATGCGGCCGCAAGTGTTGGGGAAGCCTGCAACCCAGAAGTCCGTAGATTGGAATTAGAGTGGATCAACTTGGATGCTCTGCTTGTCAAAGGGCCAATCACATGGATAGAAGAGTCCACCAATGAACAGTCTTCGTCTCTAAGCTGTCCCAACGCCAGAATTACGAATCACAGGAACTTTAACGGGCACTTGGAATAAGCACTTTGTTTGCGGGTTAGCCGGTACACCGAGAGGGTTTCGGTCGGATTCTGAAGTGAATCTTATAAGGTGCCCACCTTCTCGATCATGCCCGCGACTCCGGCCTGGGTCGGGGCGGAGCTGACGCCACCCTCCGTCTGGATGATGTCGGCGCCCGCGTTTTCTAGGAGCTCCGCCAGGTGTACCTGCAAGGGAACGGGGCAGAACGTTTCGGCCACAAGAATACGCACGTCACCGGCAGATGTAAAGAGCGTGAAGTGACACGTATTCGTCATTGCACAAAAATGGCGCTGTTTTGCAACGACTGTCGCACGTAACTTTTCGGTGTGAATCATCCTTACGGACGTTTGAGCCAAACCAAGGGCGGCTAACATGAGGTCCGACTTCGGTGCACGAACAAACAGCCAGGATCTCGTAGCTCGCAACATAGACAAGAGACGTCAGTCCGCTGGCCAATTTGACGCAACCAAGCGAAGGTTACTTTGCTGTTCTAAAATCAGCGCTCATGAGATGTTTGACAACGTTTTGTTTCCGAACGTCAACCCAAAACCTGACAAAGCAGCGGGGCCTGAGAAGACTCGAGTGCTCCTTGTGTTGAGCAATCTTCCTTCGAGTTAAGACGAGCCCAACGTGCAGGAGATGAGAAATATCGATGTTACATCTGACGTCCTTTTTGAGAAAGTCTGCAAGTATTTCGCTTAGCTAGCATTTCAATACAAAGACTAGCCTCTCGACCAATCAAAAGGCTTACGTATTTGTCTTCAAGAAGTTCATAGCATATGCTTCTTTGCACAACTGAGTTGTCTCACCTGGTCTGGCAGAGGGAGGGTGTGGGGCACGGTCACAGAGAGCGGGATGGTCGGCAATAGCTGCCTCGTTCTTCTCGTCAACGCCAACACCTGCAGAAGTGATGAACTCCGGGTTGCAGAGGAGAACCTCTTCTGACACAGCGGAAGTACTGGCGTTTGCCAAGCATGACAATCGAGAGCCTAAGAGATTGGGAGGATCTCGAGGCTGCTTCACATGGAATCTATATGACCAGGACAAGCTTCGAGCAGGAATGCGCAACATTTGACAGATATAAAGTCCTTCTGAAACAGCTCTTGGTTAATTGAGAGGTTTGTGACGCGCTTGACAAGATTTCTAGAAGCTAATCAGCTGCTTTTCCTAAAAACGAAGAGAATTGACGGATTCGCCCTCCTGACTGACCTCCTCAGCATCGAAGGTACGGCCCTCAGCATAGAACGGGTCGTAGTTCCCAATCTCGACCTGGAAAGAAAGTCGAGAGATTTGCGCATCAACTTTGAAGACGTGCTTCTTGGCATCGAGTCCCGATGTGCCATAATCCTTGCAGCCGGCCAACCGCAGCCGGTCATCAATTATCGACGATATCAAAACCTTTCATGTCGGAATAACCTGTACTGAAGGAAGACTCGTGTGCCTTGAACAAACATGAAGCCTTGTTCTGAACGGGCTCATAGTGGAAACCCTTGTCAACCTTTTAAATGCAGAGAGTGCAGATTGATATGGCTAGAATCTGCGGAGCTTGGGATTATTGCAACCTGTCAATATTTGCAATTTTCAGATGTTTCCACATAAGTCCTTACATCACACAGCGCCATCCCGCAAAGTCTTGTCTGTCTGAGCAGGCTTTGTGTTGGCTTCCAAGCAAATCACGAAATGGCAAAAGAATCAAGCTTCTCAGAACAGTGGCCTGAGACCATACCATGGTGGCACCCGCCGCAACAGCAGGTACGAAGAGTTCGGGCTCAACTGCGGAGACGCAGACCTACAAGAAAGAAGCCACACACATGACATGTGAGCCACGGAACGCTTTGCGCAGTAAGCTGATGCTCTTTGTCTTGGCCAAGACGGATCCGGGCAGTCAGAACGAAAGAACAGGAAGTGTTCTTACAGTTTGCGAACTCGGACAGCCTTACAAAACGACAGTCGGTTGATTGGGAGGTGTGATTGCTGAAAGACAGCCCTAGAGCAGATTGGAGCAAAAGACCAAGCTCTTTGTCCAGCTTCAAACGATGATGACACAGAGACAACTACAATGAGGCAAACATGCAACAATATCCTTGCCGCCGGTATATGGACAACATTCCGGACTCACCGGAACGCTTGTGAGGCTGCAGGCCAGCTTCACTAGCTCAGGATCGCAGGCGATGTCAACGTGTGTAGCACCACCCTGAGGGGAGGAAGGAAAACCTTAGCACAGGTATCAGGAATCATTATACAAGTTAGTTAGTGGACACCGGTGAGTTTTTTGTGTGTGAGGATATGAACGGGAGGATTGAGGAATGCATCGCAGCTGCGGCCTAGCGATTGCACCACCACAATTCGCGCATTACTACAAGAAGGCAGTACTGATCGGGCGCTTCCATCAATGAGCTGGTACTTACAGGACGGGTTCAAATAGAACTAGTATTCTGGGACTGGCTTCATGAACAGCATTGTTAAGACGGCAACAGCGAGGTGTTGGGATTTAGGGAGGCCTTTGCGATCAGTGTTTGTTCGGGGAACACCAAGACCAGAGTTTTGCACATGTCGTTAACGGCGTTCTTGGCCTCCAGTCCCCAGTACTAATAATCTTCCTTGATGACCGGAAAGCTCTCGGAAGGTGGTTGGACAACTTTGCCCCAGGAAGAAATGCGCACCTGCTCAGCCGCAGCCACAATCTCCGCCACATTCTCCCGGTTAAAGTTCTTCAGTCCCGCGATAACCTGAACCGAAGTGGGTGAATTAAACGGTTTCATTATTGATTGCATGAAAGCTGACAACAAGCTCAAAATGTAGTTTCATTGCTTCAGGCTAACCTAAAGCTGCAGCGGGTAAAAGCTCTCAGAAAAGTCTCCCGGAAGACTGATGAGGTGCAAAGGCGGCAATGTGGTCTTCTGCTCTGTCCATTTATACACGAGGTTTTCTCTTGATGCCGCGAATCAAAGTGGTCACGCACAATTGGGTGGTCAAAACAGTAGAGTTGCACATTTTCGCACGTCATGCAGACAGCCTTACACCAACCTAAGGAGTACTGCAGTGTCTGAAAAGATGGGAGAAAAAGGATATTCTGCTTTCACCATTACCAAGCGTAGCACAAGCAAGTGCCCACTGTGTGTCTGAATTGTTTGTCTTCGGTTGGATAAGTGAGATAACTGCAAGAGGTTCTGGAGACTCGGTTCTTTCTCGCAGCATTGCAGTGACACCCTTGGCGGCAGAAGACAACCACCACTGATACATCATCAACAAAATTCCCGGGTTGTTGCTTGCCTTGAAAGCCTTCTTCTCAGCAAACGGCCGAAGGACGTCCTGCCTCGACGGAGCATCGGCCTGCCCCGCTGACGCAGCCACATTGAGCCTGCGCAATTGGCTGATCTTCTTGATCGTCGGCGCTGGGCAGACTCTGCATCCTGCGATGCTCTGAGAGGAGCATAGGGATGCGTCGGAGACGCGAGCGAGGCTGCTGGCAGCAGAGAGAGCCTGGGTGGTCGCTGCAGAGGCCGCCATTGTGGATCTGTGCGTCCAATCTTACAAATGCTGGTACGCGATCTTGCGTGTGGAAAAAGATATTTCGAAGTGGAAATTTGGCACTTTTTGACGTCATCAAAAGTGACATCAGAGGCCTTGCGCGTCATGAGGTTGGAATTTGCGAAACACCAGCCTCGCGGAGCGAATTCAAAGAGCTCCTAAAACAGGGCCTACCGTGCCAAGTGGAGCTTCAAGGAAGGCATGGAGGCAGCTTCTCTGCCTGTTTCACCCACTTTCAAGTTTCATCCGCAAGGTGATTCAATTCCAAGAAAATCTGAAGGTTCCTTTGATTTCCAAATTGCAATGCTGCTGCGTGCCTGTAGCTAGGGAGGCGCTCTCATCCTATTTAGGTTGTGTGAAGGGGACCTCGCTTCAGAGCAAAAGAGTTTGTTTCATGAGTGCAGAGTATTGTTGCGCATGAATCAAGCTCGTTGAAGTTTAGAAGAAATCTAGAAGGTGGTCGTGCGGATGAATGTTTGTTAAAAGCTCAGAAGTTTTAAGCTCAGGACACGCAACCTGCAACTGAAACAACTGGTCTTCGACAAGCTCAAAGGAAACCCAAAGTCTCTTGAAAGTTGGCCATTGTGTACCGCAGTGGTGCATGCAGCAGCAATCATGACAGGGTCTGGAGACAACGAGCTGCCCTCAGTGAAGACTTCCGACCTCTTTGCCCGTGCTTTGGAAAATGAAGGAATCAAGTATATCTTTGGTGAGCAGCTGTCACTCAGCTCAGCCAGGGGACAGTTAGGACATCAGCATACAACTAAAAGGGCATGCTTTCTCAGTAATGCAGTAAAAAGAAAGGGTTTTGAATGAAGGCAGGTTTGACATTCCTTCTTGCAAGTAAGTTGTAGAATTTTATTGTTTGATAAGTGTAGGACTGGGTGTCACTTGACTGAGAGTATGCATCGCTAGCATTTTTGAGGCCCAAGGTGAAGTTCCTGTCAATGCAGTGACTTCGCAAGGCGAGAAGTACCCATTTTCACCCCGCAGCATCTTCCAAATTTATCAAGAGAAAGAGTGACAAGACGTTTGGAGTCTGCTCTATCATGGGATGGACGACCTGCACTATTGTGACCCTGGTCAACCGTCTCCTCAATCTCACTTCCTTGGCAGCCACTTCATGCAGGAAACTACAAACAACTCAAAATTCAAAGTGAAGTCCTTTTCCTCCTTTTTCTTTTTCAGGCATCCCTGGGGAGGAGAATCTGGACTTCCTCAACTCTCTCAAGGATTCCAAAATCCAACTTGTCCTGACACGCCATGAACAGGCCGCGGGCTTCATGGCTGCCACAGTTGGCCGCATCACTGGCAAGTGCGGAGTGGCGCTTTCCACCCTAGGGCCCGGTGCTACCAACTTTGCGACGGCGGCGGCATATGCTCAACTAGCGGGGTTTCCCATGCTGATGATCACAGGGCAGAAACCGATTAGGCAGAGCAAGCAGGTGAGTTAACAAGGATAAAACTTGTTAACTAAACTCCATCAATGTGGCACTAACCTGGGTTTAAAAGGGGAGAGGGTGACGAAGGAGGTACTGGTTTGACGATGGTGAAAGCAGACCTCTTCTTCTAGTGGCTGAGCTTTTGTACAACCGCCACTGGATTCTCAGGTTCTCTGGCCCTGGTCGGACACTAGCAGGCAATTGATTTGTGAGGAATTCGGTCAAGCATGGAGCTTGAGTCGGTTCCAGTATCTTAACACAGAACTAAGTTTGTTAGGCGACATATTCGGCTTTTGACTTCACCAAAGCCTTTTTCTCAAAGCTTGCCTGATGGCACATGCCAAGGTTTACGGTGCCTACGTAGTGTTTGAAACTTCAAAGACTTCACCAATAAGATAGCCACAGGTGCGTCACCTGTACACAGGTTACTTGTCAAATGGGGTCATGCCTGAAGTGATTTCTCTTCTCTTTGGTACCAATAGCCATTTCATGTAAGAGATGCCATAGTTATTAATGGGGTCCTTTTGGATGTTGGAACAGGTGCAAACTGAGAATAAGAACTCTGATTACAGTGCTCAAGTGCTCTGAATGCTTGACTCCCCTGCATTCTAGGTCAAAAACACATCCCAAGTACCTTCTGTCTTGACTTCTTGTTCCTCTTTATGTTTGCAGGGCTCGTTCCAAATTGTGGAGATTGTGGATCTGATGAAGCAGGTGACGAAGGTGAGAAGAGGTTCTCTGCTCCTGTTCTTGAGCTCAACGATTCTATGGTTGGATCTGAGGACTATCTAGTCCCAGCTTCATACTGTCAATACGAGATGGAAGAATTCCTGGTCTGCATACTGAAAAGGTCCTGTGAAAATTGTGACTTTGAAACCCAGTAACTGCTCCGTAGTGAAAGTCCGGACTCAGGAAATGGTGATTCAATCGCAAGTTGCCCTTTCGCCCTGATGTGCCCCATGCAGATCAGATCCTTCTAAATACCGCGTGTTTTTGCTGATGGGATTGCATTGTCCGCCCTAAGAAATAGCAACTCGTTTCAATACCTGACACCTATTCCTTTTGATCCCTCAAGTGTTTCAAGTTCGGTTTTTCAAGTCTGTCTTCATGCACGCTTTCTACGTTCTGCCACTGACACATGCAAAACTACAGCTGTCAGTGTGAGCCTCATACTTCCTTCGTCAGCTACAAATCGGGCCTGTACTCTGCAGAAAGATAATACATTTTCATTGCCAAAGACTCCGCAAATTCTGAAGCAAGTCGGTGACGGCGACCTTGCCCCGTTGCTCGTGTGCAAGTCCATCCGCGTTGCCAAGTAAAAGCACCCCGAGGCGGTCCAACTAGAACAGAATTAGATTTTGAGCTTTTGTGCATGAGTCTCCAGCTTTGCGCCTCCCATCGCTCCGCAGTTCACGAAGCAGATAGCGGACGGCGATCGCGTGCCGTCGCTCGTGCGCGAGTCCATTCCTGTCGCCAAGGAAGAGCGCTCCAGGGCAGTCCACCTAGAACAAAACTCAGTTTTTCTACATTTTGCGTAGTCTCCGGCTTTCCGCCTCCCATTTCTCCGCAGTTCATAAAGCAAATCGCGGATGGCGACCTCGTCCCGTTGCTCGTGCACGAGTCCATCTGCGTTGCCGAAGAAGAGCGCCCCAAGGCAGTCCACCTAGAACAGAACTAAAGCTTTTATATGTTATGGATGATTCTCCAGCTTTCTCCCTCCCGTTTCTCTGCAGTTCACAAAGCAAATCGCAGACGGCGACCTCGTCCCGTCGCTCGTGCGCGAGTCCATCCGCGTCGCTGAAGAAGAGCGCCCTGGAGCAGTCCACCTAGAGCTTCCCGAGGACATCGCAAAAACAATGAGCCACGCCCACATCTTCCCGGTTTACCAAGTCCGGCGCCCGGTTGCCGAAGAGAAGTCGATCGCGAAAGCGGTGGCGATGATCCAGGCGGCTCGGCACCCGCTGCTGCTGATCGGGGCGGGGGCGAACAGGAAGCGCACGCAAAACATGTGAGCCGCGCATCGAAGTTTGATTTCTTGGATGAACACTTGTTTCTTGGTACATTACAGAGGTACTGCTCGCTGTCAAGTCGAGTGTGAAGAGCTCGCAACATGTGAGTTGGAGACTCCACAAGCTCTACTTTCTGTTGACAACCAATCTGCCCAGTGTCCTAGACGTACCTTAGGACGTCGAAGGTCGCCTAGAGTGTCGAAGGCGTGGCTCTTCAACAGAGATCTCAAGTGGATAGAACGGGTTGTAGAAGAGAAGCCCAGCTGACGACGTTTTGGCATCAGCGTTTTTGGAGTGGCAGATACTTTGTCGGGATCCTTCGAAATCTGCTGTCCTGAAAGTCTTAGAGCAATAAACTGCAGGATCGAGTTCACTCTCTAAACCAGCAGCCGGATTGAAGTTGTTGCCGTGTCCTTCCCTCACGCATGCTTTGGTGTGACGACCACAGGTTGAGGCAGTTTGTGGATGATATTGGCATCCCGTTCGTGACGACGCAAATGGGCAAGGGTGTCGTCACAGGTAAGCGTTCCTGCCGTCTCATGTTGCCTGACAAGGCTAAGAGCGCGATTGAACTTCGCCCTTCCAGACTAGATGTTGGCTTGCTCACGCCAACCTGTTCTAGGCTTGCATTCTTCTACCGTGGTCCGTGGCCTGAGTCCTTTTTTACCAGTTAGGTAGACTAAGTCGAGCGACCGGTCAGGTGCAATTGGTTTTCTCAACGCGCGCGCGCATAACCCCGACCTAAACACGCATGATTCCTTAAGCGGACCGTGCTTTGCAATTGTCTTGATCCTCGGCATAGCTCGAAATACTTCTGGCAATACGGTCTGACTTTTGGATAGCATCTAGGTGTTCCCGAACTTGCTGACCCCCGACGGCTGGGGCACTCTGCTTGAGCTCTTGGAAGACTTTCTTAAACGCTTCCGTAACCTCAACCTGAACATGCATACCACCGTCACGTCTTCAACCGCAGAGCGCAGCCCCCTGTACTGCGGTTGCGCGGCGCTCTCCGTATCGGACTTCGCGAACGTGTGCCTCGAGAAGTCGGACCTGGTCATCGTGGTGGGCCATGACGTCGTGGAGAAGCCGCCCTTCTTCATGAAGTGAGCGCCTCCACTGACGTCAGCAATCGTCAGCGGTTCTCGAGTTGCTCACGCATCTTTTCCTGGGGGTCTTGATTGTTGACACTGTGTATTTTGGCGTCGAGAAAGTGGGCTGTTCAGCCTCTTTCAAGATCGCCCTTTTTTGTCAAGCAATAGCCACCTTCGCAAGTTGATGGGGTGCGGAGCTTCCGTCTCATCATTTGTTTCTTCGTTCTCATTTCTGCTTCTCGCTCTCCTGCTACCGTTGTCTGCTACTGGTTTGGGCGAAGCGGAGGCGCATGCTGACGTGTCCGCTGACATGTTTTCGCAGGTACCAACAGGCGCCGTACGTCATCCACGTCAATTTCTACAGCGCAAAGGTGGACAATGTCTACTTCCCGCAGGTCAGGCTCAGCGCTTGAGCTTTACATCTCAAAACACCAGCAACATTTCAAAATTGGTTACAAAATTCTCAATGATGGGAATCCCATTTTCCAGTGACAGACGGCTGACAGCTGGAGCATGTGAAGGAACAATGGGGAGCTCAGAGCACTAGCTATGCTTCTGCTCTGTCTACGTTGATCTGTGTGAAAGTTTTTTCAAAAGCCGAAACATGAGACGAGCGGCGGTCAGCTGCTCAGAAAACATCTCTCGACAGGCGAGCTTCACCTCCAGATAGGGCCGGCCGACGCCCTTAAAGATCTTCCAGCAACGCTTTGTGAGGGCTAGCCGGGCCAAAAAGCGGGGAAGCAGCTGTCCGGCTGTATCTAATCCTGGCCGTCGATTGGTTGCAGCACGAGGTGGTGGGCGATATCGCGAACGCCATCTGGCAGATCAAGGAGCGCGTGGTGAAGCAAGACCACTGGGACTTCCACTACTACCTCGAGGTCAGCGTTTACATACTTGTTTATCAGAACTGTTATGTATGTTGTGATTCTGCCACTTTTCAAAACTTATTGTGTTGAAGGTGACAAGACCACTGAGACTTCCTTAGCTTCCCGAGGGCATTCTATTCATACACCCAGATCTCTGTTGCTTGCGACTTCTCCTACGCATGTGGAGTTACTCAGGTTCCTCGTTGGAACGCCTGACGTTTCGGCACGCTTGTCCTCACGCACAGTAATATATTTTCTTTCTGGAGACGAAAGAACGCCTTCAAACTCATGTTTTTCGAAACGAGAGAGCGCCTCCAAAGTTACGTCTGGGACTGAGGTTCTGGGTTTCTGAGAGTATGACGTGCTTTGAGATATTAAGGCCGCGTCGAGATCTTACCTCATCCTCTTTCGTTGGCTGCTCGCCTGTTACTTGACAACTATGGAGCGCCGCTTTAATGTCAGGGCTTCTGGACCCGTTCTAGCATTCCCTTGCGATCTGGTTCACCTTAGGTTTATCAGAATGTATACAGTATGTCGACCAGTATATTGACGGTATGTTTAACTTAGTTTGCACTCGGTTTTGATTGCCATTTTTGCCAAGCACTTGGCCATGCAAGGCCTTCATTTGCCCATTCTTATGGTGGCTTGCGCTTCATGCATATCTCTCCACGTGTCTCAGACCCGCGCCAAGGTGGTGGACCATTCCAACTTCGGCCAAGTTTGCCCATCCCTTACGGTGGCTTTCTCTCATGTTTATATCTCTCCACGTGTCTCAGACCCGCACCAAGATGCTGGACCATTTCAAGATTGGCCAGGACGACGACCGCTTCCCGCTCGTGCCCCAGCGCATTGTGCATGACGTCAGGTAAGGCGCAGCATGATGTGATATATGAAGCAAACCTGCTCGGCCAGGTTTTGCCACGTTCTCCTATCGATTTCACAGCTTTTGCTGCACTTTGGCGCTGACTCCTTGCTGACATATGCATCATCGATCGCCTTGACTGTAAATGTTTTCATTGCTCGTTCTTCGACAAATAACGTCCAGCCTTCAGGAGCTTATCCTGTCGTGGGTCGACCTCTATCTCTTCAGTTTAATTTCTAAGGAAGAAACTTTCTTGGCAGAACTGATGCAGGATGCTCAGAGAGGGACTTTTCGATCTCCGTTGTACAGATCTCTCAAGGCTTCTTCCTTTGTTAGAGAGCGAAAACCCGGAACGCGCCTTCCAGATTCGAAACCCCAGTTCCATATCAAAGCTTTCCGACGTGAAACCCACGTCTTATCTTGCCAAGCCTCAGTTTATGACAGTTGAGCTTCTCGGTCCACCCTTCTCTCTCCTTCTTCCCAGATTCCTATAATGATAGGCTCAAACCTACACCTCTATCATTTTCACGAAACAGAAACGAATCAACATTCTGACACCGCGTTTAGCTTTGCCCCTGCAGGCAGGTCATGCCCGACGATGGAGTAGTAGCGCTCGACAACGGCATGTACAAAATCTGGTTCGCACGCTTGTATGCGGTAAGACCTTCGTCCGCCAACCTATTTCAAATCCAATCTTCTTGAGATGGCCTCCGGTTAGATGCGGTCATGACTGGCCGCAGACGATGTCTACAAGAAATCTAGTTGTCTATGGCAGTACGACGATGTGCTCTTGAAAGCTCAAGGGCTTGGTACAGTGACATTGTGTGCGGCATCTGTCGGCAGCCTCTGCGTTGTGGCCGTGCGAGCCCATTTTGAGGCTGCTTCAATCGTTGTCATAAACACAGTGCCCACTTCAGTTGCTTTTAGCGCCCGCAAGACCGCACTCATCTTGCGCGTGTATGCTCTGACGTCACCGAGAGGACAGACGTTGTTGATCAGAGGAATTGCTTATACTGGTATCGACTTTTTTTTGTTGACTTTTGCAACCGATGTTGCACAGGCAGTCAGTGGAGAGCCCAACACGCTTTTGCAGGCAGATAACATCTCCTGTCCTCTTTCCCTGTTGATGGGATGCTTATGGCTTGGATCTTGAGAAATTAAAAAGGAACAAAGACCTGATTTCATAAAATTCGGCAGGCGGTGGAGCCCAACACGCTGTTGCTGGACAACGCTCTGGCCACCATGGGCGCCGGGCTCCCTTCCGCGATGGCGGTTGCGCTGCTCAACCCTGAGAAAAAGGTGCTGGCCGTGGCGGGAGACGGCGGGTTCATGATGAACTCGCAGGTGGGGCACCGGGGGTTTCTCCGTTCGTATTTGCTTCTCTCGTCCTTTTCCAGCATCGGACATGCACAGAAGATTGACCAAGGTAGCTGTTGACGAGTAAGGTTAGTCATGCTAGGATTCGGATGCTCCAGTAGTAACCATTCGAAATGCTCTTGGAAATATTGACTAGCATTGTGAGAGAACGCTCCGGCGCGTGATGCATGCTCGAAAGCGTCCGTTGTGTGGTGGTTTTACTGCAGTGCGGTCAGGACAATTGGAAGTTCCATCCGCGCAAGGGGATGAAGCATGCGCATCATTTCTCGCCTTGAAAAAGCTGAATGAAAGCATCCGTTCGGGAGATTGCAGATTTCATCTGCCCAGTAATAGAAATACGAGCTCTTTTAACCCCGAGGATAGCGAAACGAACAAGCGGTGTGTTTGATTGCAGGAGCTGGAGACGTGCGTCCGGCTGAATCTGAACATTACGGTCGCCGTGTTGAACGACAGCGGGTTCGGGATGATCAAGTGGAAGCAGAAGGCCGAGGGCCTGCCTAAGTGAGAGCCTAAACTCGAATCCTTGACGACTACAAGATACAAAATGCAAAGGTTGGAATTAAGAGGTCCAGATTTGTCCAGGATACACCAGCGTCAAAGCGATCTAGATTGCATGTGCGCTCCTCCTCGACAGCATCTAGATTCTTGAGATCCCGGCAAATCACGCCGTTTGCATCGCTGTTCACAACAACGAGTCCTTGGGATCCAGCATTGCGGCGGACCAGCAACCATGGCGCCAACAGCTCTTTCTGACGGAAGCCGCTTCTGATGCCTCATCGCGGATAGGCTGCGTGTCTCGCGAAACGGCTACGAATTGAACCTTTGGGCCATCTAGGCTGCGCTTTAGGCTGGGGAGGCACGTTCCATACAACGCGCGCTCCACAAGAGGGTAAACTTCATCCACAAAACGGACGTGGCCACAATGACTGAGCTTCGTGTGCTTATGATGCAGGTTTGGCCTAGAGTACGGGAACCCAGACTTCGTCGCTTATGCAGAGGCGTAAGTTCAGACCACCCTTCTTTTTTCAAGATAAGTTTATTTTTGGGTCCTGCTTCGTAATGCCGCAACGCCTGTCTTGTTTGCTCCTTTGGGCATCACTGACCGTTTCAGAGCTGTCACTCCGCTTCTGAACGCTGCCGTCTGTTTCCCGTCTTGTACTGCTACTGGCTGCGTTGAAACGCAACGGCCACAACACCGGTTCCTCAGGCCGTTGCACTGGTCGACGCACGAAAGGACTCGGTCTCTACTTAAACGCCTGTCAGTGCAGGATTCTCTTCTGGACAACTAAGTGCACGAACGGTATGCATTTTCTTCCTAAACTCTTTGTGTGCAGTTGTCTGACTCCCACCCGAATTCTGGTTCACTTTCGCTTATTCCATTTTGCAGGTACGGGATGAAGGGGTACCGCGTCAACTCCGCCGACGAGCTGCTTCCGCTCCTCAAGAAAACGTTCGACGAGCCCGGCCCCAAGCTTATCGAGGTGCGTCGGTTCTTTTCTGCTAGTCGAGAACCAGTGCTGCCCACTTTGTTCTCCCCTCTTCGAACGGAGCCTTTGACTGGCGAGGTCGTCAGTTGCTGACATGATGGTCGGCGCTCGTTCAACAGTCGTTCATAAAGATGGTTTGTTCGCAAGTCTTAACGGTGAACCCCTTGGGCCTTACGGTCGGCCTCGCCGCTGGGCGGATGCGCTGCATATATGTGGCGGCGAAGGAGAGTCGACGCTGACCTTTCGACACCACATTTCTAAGGCGCCTGGATATCAAGCGTATGTAGTACTTGAGTCTCTGTTGCCTTGACATGCTGTGTCTGGACTGGCTGGCTGGTTCTTACTTCCAGTCGATGTATCGACCGTTGGTTGGGGCTATTGGTATTCTCCCCTTGTTGTGAATTCTCTCCCAATGACTTTCAAAACTATCCGGTCGGATGAGACTTAAGGAAAGCCGCCGTTCCTTTGTTCTTTTGGTGGTGCAGATTCCTATCGCTTACGATTGGGCCAACGAGCTGCTAGACAAGGAGCTGCCCGGCAAGTTGCAAGAGCAAGCATCCGTGCCTAAGACGCCCATACCGGAGGAACTGAGAGCTATCGTGGAAGGAAGCAAGCCCGTTCCATTGTCGCTGCCTCAAACCGCGCAGACTCCCGGTGAACCCAAGATCACGCAAGACACGGCTCGTGAGGATGCTTTCTTGAAAGCGCGAGAGGAGGAGAATCCGCTGCCGTCATCAGATGCGGAGACACCAAAGACTGTGCCGAAGTCGACTTCGCAGATCTAGCGACCTCTAGGGTGTACTATAGTCCTCTGAGTGTAGTTATTGCGAGTGCTTGATTGTAAGTGTCCTCCCATTGTGCTTTTCATTCTGGTTCTTGTCTGTGTAATCAGCACCGAACCATAACATTGCGCACCACAAGACAACACTGTTGAGATCTGGTCAATAAGCGCGTGAGAAACTGATATAAAACAGTCGGATTGGCCTACAAGCCCAGGCCCGAGAAGATGACGTGTTGGTTGAGTTAGCGATGAACATCCAACGAAACTTGTTTCTCTAGGTTCATCGTGAGAAGGCTTCAATCGCCCGAGCAATTGCCTTCCAATATTGTCAAGCAATTTGGAACGACCTTGGTTGGAGGCACGGTGGCATGTGACTGGAATGTGGCCCCCATGGATGATGCAGCATGATTGAACGAGCAGGCTGGCAAGTATATCAACCACAAATCTACATGTATGAATGTTAAGTTTAAAAGTTGTGCACTAGCAGAGGCATCCGGGGCAAATCGTATCTCGATGCCTGCAATCTACCTGATGTACCAAGTACCGTAGGTACTGGGTAATTTAAAATTCTTGGGGTATACCGACAATTGCATACAACCTTCTCAACAAGCGTTCAATACCATGGCCATTGGTGGTTCAATAATTATATTACAATTGCGCCCCTAGGCGCAAAGCCGATTCCGTTCAACGTCATACCTAGCTAGGTAGTAGTAGTATACCTACCGTTTAACCCGTAGCCTTCTGGGCCGGCTGGCAGTGCAGTGTGCACCCATGATTGGCATCCCACAAAGTAAGTATATGCAAGGCCACATGGCGGCTGCTCAAGGAGTGCAACAAACTTGCAGATTAAACTGCAGAACTGCAAGCATCAACCGCGAGATGGGTACATTGAATCATATCGGACGGCTGTGCACACATCAAGATTCAATCAATCTGGAAACGCCCGCGGGCTGTGATTGTGACCGGTAGAAACCTGCCCCAGAAATATCTGTTCGTAGTTGAGCAGACATGACGCTCCTCCACACGGGCGAAAGGCACGGACGTCATCATGAAGGTCATCATTCATTTCTTGCCTCGCTTTTGCAGAACTAGAGCTGAGCTCTATGTACAGTCTACTACGGTACCTACTACAGTACTACTAGGTACTATAGGTACTTCCGTAGCTAGCTAGCCAGCGCTCTGCTTCATGGCGGTTCAATGGAGAACCTTGAAGGAGAACGTTGAGCGGGGCAGGAGACCAGGGCAGTTGGGAGGACAGCTCAGCTGGCTTGCTTGCTGAAAAGCGTGGATTGAGCCACGGAGGGTGTTTGGAGGGTTCTTGAGATTCTCGGGGTGTTTGGGTTGAGCCTTTCGGCAGGATTTGCGGATGTTGAAGTGGGGCGCCAAACGCTTTCACCTGTGTTGGGATGCCAGTGACGAAGGGTCCTTGGTTCATCAGTAGTTTAGAGCGGAAGTGGGGCACGGACTTTTGACATCAAGAAGATTGGGTTTCTGCTGGCATAGTAAGCAATAGCTTGTACTCGGGCCTTTTCCAATGCTAAGGCAGTAACTGGATCTGCATGCAGCAGTCTAGTGACAGCGGGCACCTCGGGTTTGAAAGCAAGAGTTCGGATATCATCCAAGGGATATTGCATAAACAGTCACATTGGGGCATTGTAGGCTGTTGAGCTTGAAGGGAGGTAAGTTATTCGGTTTTGTTGGAGCGGCCTGCATCAGCAGAATGATGGTGCTGGCCTGTCGAAATCCTGATGGATGTGCTATCGTCATGGCCCCAAGATGGTCTCTCAGATTCATCTTTTGTGGAGGTTGGATTGTGCAACAATGCCTGTACGGTCAGGTTTGCTGGTTCTAAACGAGCTGAGTTTGTAACAATGGTGGACTGAGAAGGATTTCTCGCGTGAAGACTTCATTGTTATTGTCTGAGAAATGTAATGGGTGGCCATGGCTGAGATCTGGGGTCAGGTTCCGAATGAGCATATCCAACTTTGATCGCATAGATGGCTTCTCCTTGTGCCGTTAGACATGCTGTAACATCTCAACGAACTTGATACGAAGACGCTGTTGTTCTATAATATCATCTGCTGTTGCTTTTTGGCAGCTATGACCATTTGTCCACCTAAATATCGCTTCTCTGTCGATATGAGCAGCCAGGAGAAAGCAAAATAGTGAGTCGCAAGCTCATTGTAGTCTGGAGAGAAAGCGTAGTCATTCATGCTTCCAAAGAAACAGCCTGGCAATCATCCTCGCGGAATGTATTAGGACAGGGTTTTGTAGCCAGCGCTCCCTCTTACTGGTCAACAGGCTTGCGCTGATCCCAGATTGGATAGGACTGTTCCTGTCACTCGGCGCTCCCTGTGCTAAGTCCTGCTGTTTGCAAAGCATTTGTTCCACCATTGTGAAGTTTCTGCTTTCTGTGTGCTGGTTGAGCTCCCTTGCAACTGTTGCTCTGAGCATACCTCCTCTCGGTAAGCAAGAGGGTTTTCATTGTGGATTTTGTGCAACAGGTGCTTCAATCTCTGTAGGCTACCGCTCTGAATGATTCCGTTTCTGTGCAATAGCCGAGTATGTGTATTGTCTGGTCTGAACCTGCACACTTTTGTGAGGGCCATTCAATGTATCAGACTTTTCCATGTGTTGCATCAAAGTGATATGCTAATGAAGTTTCGCTTGCAACTCGTTTTGCACGCGCCTTTTCTGGATGTTTGCAACTGTATTTGACTCAGCTTTCCAACTCACTGAAAGTGCTTGCCCTGTTTTTTTGCAACATGCCGTAGAGTACTTAAAGAGACGTGTTCACCCTCGTTTTGCCGTCGATTTTCCCGTTACAAAACAAGCGTGCCAGGCGAATCTTCAGGGGTTTCAAGGATCAAACCAGCAAGAACCTGGTCTGATGTGAACTAAAATGCTTTGCCTGCAGCATGCTTGCTCCCGGGGGCACGGACTTCTCCTCATTCCACTCCACAATGCAAGAGACAAACTCCGACAACGAGTACAACACCGCCTCGGAAACTGGGGGCTCCAAGGGCTTGCATCACCCCCAGCCTCAGTTACCTGTCAATGGGGTCACTCTACATTTCCCCAACCAAGGGAACTCGACCAGGGGGTTCCATTTACCCCCGATTATCGCCCCCCCCATGACATTTGACACCACATGGCAGCTCAGCCCCGCAACTGCACAAATGGCGTATGATATGGTGTTCAACCGGCAGCCGTCGCCGTCCGCAAATGCGATGCGGCCGCAGGTGATGCGCATGCAGGACGGGTTGGGACAGCTGACCTCGCTCAGTGAGTACGCCATTTTTTGTACAGATCAGTCTGATCTTCTCCCTGTAGCAATCTAAGTTCCAAGTCCGCACGTTACTGGTAAAATCCAGTGCATAGGTAATCAAACGAGGCCGGTCATTTTTGGGACAGGATGAGTAATCTTGTTCAGTATGATGAGGGGGTACCCGCATCAACAGAAGCGGTGAAGGGTATGTCAAGAACTTAAGCCTCATGGTTTGCATACTCGATGGTTCGGATTTAGCACATGGCCAAATAGCTTTTGGTCGGCAGACCAACCTAGACCGCTCTGCCTAACCAGTGTTTCAAAGACTCGCAGACTCGGCATTTGGGTTTTCATCTCTGCAAAAGAAGAGATGCGTTGATTGTCGTCTTTAGGTGTGCTCAACAGCAACTCCCTAACAGGCTCAGTCGCTTTGAGGGTGGGACCAAGTTCTGCTGTTTTGATCTCACAGGAACTCTCCGTGTTTTTTTTGAGATGTCATCACACTCTGTGCTGCAAACTTTGTGTTTTGGCCAGGGAACCAGGGGTGATCAGCAGCAACTTATGGTCCGTTTGCATGCACACGCAGTCAGCACTTGACTGGTGTAATTCTGTGGTTGAAATCCGCTTTGCAACAGGCAAAGACACACTACATACATTGTGGAGGCCTTGTTATTTACACTGGTAAATGCAGTCTGTCCCCTTATTACGGCATTGCAAATCCAAGTGACAACTATGTTTGCGTAGTATATGGAATCTCTGACCATGCCTCAGGCGGCTTTGAGGGGGCCTGTTTAAAATCCATTTTCAAAAGGTACTGCCAACTTTTGCCGAACCTCCGTCTGACCTGGCCCTACTCTTCTCTCCGCCCCCCCCCTCCAGCAACCAATGGAGACGAAGGCGCCTTTCAGCAAGTCGCCCGCTCGACCGACCTGCTGGTGCAGCCCCCCCACCTGATGGACTCCCTCAACCGCAATCCAGTCTCCGCGCCCCTGACTGTAAACCTCACTTCCGGAAGCGACGTCAACGCCCCGATCGACGTCAACATGCAACCTCCCCAGAGGGATGAGGGCGACTCTGCGGGGCAATCGGAAGAGTTTGATGACGACGATGTGAAGCCGTCGGTTTCGGGGCGGAAGCGGGATGCGCAGGGGGGCGGGGAGGAGAGCGTGACGGGACGCAAGAAGCTGAAGCTGTCCAAGGAGCAGGCGGAGCTTCTCGAGAAGGCCTTCCGCGAGAACAACACGCTCAATCCGGTATGTGTTCATGTCTTTCGCGCAGCTAAGATTGGCGTTCTCTTCTGAAATTGTATCGTAAGCATCTAGGAAAGGCTTTCAGCATAATCAGCACGCTCAGAGTTAATCTGGCTCGTGAACGTTGCTACTCTCACTGAAAGGACTTAGCCGTACAAAAGCGCGTGAACGTTGCTACTCTCACTGAAAGGACTTAGCCGTACAAAAGCTCTGTGTCCGCAAGCAAGCCTAACAGAGCCTGGGTCTATTTTGGTGAGCTCCGCTTTTATGATAACGGATATTGAAGGGCAAAAGTTTTTCCAATCCCCATATATCGGTTGCTTTGTCGGCAATGAAAATTACGTCTCTTATGATCTTGTATCACTCTTCTACGTTTCAAGATCGTCATGGATTCGTTCAGGGAGTTTTGATTAGCCTGTGGGAAGTCCTGCTTGTGTTGGCGGTTTATGAAGCTTGATTTCCGGATCAAGTAGGTTCTGCTTTGCATTGAACCTGGAAGGATGAGAGATTCTCACGTGAAATCCACTTTGACAGTCCGTCAAGGTACTTTGAAAGAGGATAGAGGCCTGAAAGCTGCTGCGGAGACCCTCCACTTTTGTCTTTCTTGACCTGCCCCCTCCAAAGTCATCATGCAGAACTCAGGCGTAAATTATCGAAGTTATATCCTCCCCAATCTCCTGTAGCATTGTCCTCTTGTACAAACCGTTTCTCGTGTTCTTGCAGGCTGCCAAGAGCACCCTCGCGACCAAGTTGAATCTCCGAGCGCGCCAGGTGGAGGTTTGGTTCCAGAACCGGAGGGCCAGGTGAGCCCGTAGCAAACTTGCGGAGGGTGCAGCGGGTGCCGCTTCTTTCGGTTCTACAGTCAATATGCTTTCGCCAACAAGGTCTGGGCCGTTTGTCAGCCTCCAAACGCATGTCCTAAAGCATTCGTGTTTTGGCCTACAGTTCAAAGGAAGTGCTACTCAACAATGATCAGTAGTCAACAACATGACATCAACGTGGTCGCTGGGCTTAATTCAAAGCGGGCTTGCATTACAGACGCGCCAGCATTCTCTTCCATCTTGCTGCACGCTTCCTTGTCGCTGCAAAGTTGAAAATACAGCGTCTCGAGGCCTCTGATCTAAGTGCGCCTCATGAGCCTGGTCATAAGCTTCAGGCCTCATTCTCGTGCTCTCGTAGAGCGGTTGGAGGAGCGCTATGGATAGGCAGCAGTCACGCATACCCCGCTTTGAAGGCAGGTTTCTTGGAGAATATCAAGTTCTGACTGTTACGCGAATTCGCATTAGAAGGATACATTACGGGCTACAGCGTTGCAGTCCGGACAATCCTTGCACCTTCTTCCGCTTGACTCTCGTTCAGTATGAACGGCTCTCATTTCTCTTGTCTCGGTTCTTCTTATGCTCGACTGTGAGTCGTTACTCACATTGTATATCGAAAACCGGTTTCTCCTTCGCAGGACGAAGTTGAAGCAGACGGAGGTTGACTGCGAGGTGCTCAAGCGCTGCTGCGAGACGCTGACTGAGGAGAACCGACGGCTTCAGAAGGAGCTGTCCGAGTTGCGCGCCTCGCAGGGGCAGTCGGGGCTCCAGGAGTTCCTTGGGCATATGCCGGCCGCCACGCTCTCGATGTGCCCCTCGTGCGAGCGGCTGACCGCTCTCGACCCGGTCAGGGGCTCGGTGATCATCAACCGGGGCAACAACCAGTATGAGCGCTGAGGTGTTGGCATTGCATGGCATAGCATGGCATGGCGAAATATAGTAGGGGGGTATCCAGGAAGGGGGTGTCTCTCCTTAGCTGCGGCGATCGTTGGTCGGGGCAGGCCTAAGTTTTCGGGTTGCAATGGGCTTATTTGGACTAGCTTAGGGCAGATTCGGGCGTCATGGCATTTTTTTCTCAGATCAAGGGCGAGGGCGGAATTGCAAGATTCGCGCACGCTGTTGGGATAGGATTACAGACGGGACGTGGGTGTTCCTGGGACTTCGCTAAACATTTCGAGACCAACAATTCTGATTGCTTGCAAGTAATAGGTGCTCGCTATACAGCGTAGTTTTCCGTGTAGGTGTTGTAAGGAACGGACCCACTGTAGGCTTGCTTTATTCATCCAGTCGATACATCTTTGTTTGGCAGCGCTGAACACTTTGGTGTACTACAATACTCGCTAGCACACCAGTGCTCAATTCCGTTTTAGGCTTATCACAGTACAAGGATGTTGACCCAGCTTTTTCCTGATTTGCACCAGAGGACGCATGTTTGCCATTATTGAGGCCGCATGCGCATGACGGTCCAGCATGTTTTGACTCTTGTAACCCGGCTCTATATACATGCCAGCAGCCCTGACATGTGGATGTACAGGCTTACGAGATGAGTTTTAGCATGAAAAGCTAAATTACATCGTGACGTATGTGTCATGGCCACACGGTCTACATACGTCACGGTGTTTCGATTAACATCTGCCATGGTCACTGCACTATATCTGCACATGATGCATGTAAGCGATGTTAGCTAGCAGAGCTTCGATCTGATGCCAGAAGATTCCATGACGGTCGCGGTACTTAGATTGATCATCCCTGCTGCAGCTAGCTCATTGTATATCTGTCGAACGAATGTTCATCCTATATAGCCTGAATCCTAGCCTGCTCATTGCCAAGTCAATGTGAGCCTGTCCACTGATCAATCATGCTTACATGATTCACAGGGCCAGGAGGTCAAGGAGGAGTCACTGATGAAATGTTGCAAAAGATACAGCATGCCAGTGGTTGAGTATCCAATAACCCCGAGGCCCAACGTTCAGAACTTGAGCGATCATGCATAGCTCCGCACAAGACCTCATTGAGAGCCAAACCTACAGGCGAATCAACCTCGAAATTAGCGGGCCATGCTGGGCTCAGCTATAAATAGGCACTCAATACATTTTGATTCTGGCAGGGACGCTGGCCAACCTCTTTCAAGCGCAAAATCGGTCAAACGGTTTGCATCTGGACTACAAACTCATTCAGATACGGAAAGACACTATCCTTCTGTCGTCAGCTAGGCAATAAGAACTTCAAAGAGTTAGAAACACGGAAGTTGGAGGTCTATTTATCTACAGTACATACACCTGGTGTATACAGACCCTGAATGACTGCTTCTCTTGACGTGTCAGCTTTTAAGATGCTAGAATTTTACTAGAATTACAACTTTGTGCGAAGCTTGCCACAGGACCTGCAGATGTACAGTCAATCATCAGGACTGTAAGTGGACTAGAAAAGAATTGAATTTTCGTGAACAAAGTGCCGAGGGCCAGGTTTGAGAGCTTGGCTCGCTGTCCGCACACAATCAGACAGTTACTGCGCACATTGGACGAATGGATACCTGGCTGGCGAAATTTGAAGGCCCATCCCCTGCACTGAGAAAAAACGATGAAGCGGCCCAAGTTTTTTGAATGAGTGCCAGCTTCTGTTGAATTTGAAGGAGCTTTCATCTCAATCCAAGCAGCTCATTCGAGAACAAGTGTATTGCATAGCAGGCTCAATTTTGTAGAAGGCTGTGTTGCTTCGACGCCCCCGACAGATGATAATCCCCTGGCCCCTATAAGCCTCATGTGCATGCAATGCTGAAGGGTCGATGGTGTCGTTTGGAAGTGTGGGCGTCACCTGAAACCAACGAGCTCAGTCGAATGACCAGAGAAACAGCGCCAATGGTGTTTCCAGTCCCTCACCTTCTTTCACTAAAGGACAAATCCAATGAGCGCTTCTCATTATCAGCTGTGCTGCATCTTGTCCAGCCATACCACGATCGCCCCAACAAACATGCTCACTCCCCCCGACACCGCCAGTCCCAGCTTCACATCAGGACTTGGGTCGTTCAAACCCAGAGGAGCTAGGAATGAAAGCACACCACCTAGTCCAATCAACCCGTAACCCAGGGGTGCTCTGTCGGGCGTTCTCTTCTTCCCCTTTGCGGCTTGCCGCTTGACTCGATCACGGAACACTTCTTGCTGCTTCTTTTTGTCGTCAAGGTCGTCTTGCGCCCCCATCTTTGTCCTCTCGCTACAGAAGACTAATTTGGGGTTTGATCAACAGTGAATGCAGGGCTGGCCGAGACAATGCTGCCAATGCTCCAAGGTTCTACCAACTGACGAGCGAAGCGCTCCTGGAGAAGTCCTGAAGGCTGAAGCGGTGAGTTCTTGACTCTTGAGTCTTGATGTCCCCTTGAGACGAGCTCATGCTAGCTTCTAGCATCAGACGTTCCAATGCGCGCGCGTCCTGCGCGCGTACAGCTGGCCGCGTCGCGGGCCCGGGCGCTGAGTCTGCTCAGTGTTGTACACTGTACAGTGTATTACCTACACGTAGCTGCTGACGCACATTGCATTGACATTTGCAACTTAGCTAGAGCAGCCCGTATTACTATCAAGGGACGTGACCAGATCGTGGCGGCAAGTGGCTTCATCAAAAAGAGTAACATAGGGTGACATCTCTGCCTTTCATCTCAGACGTCCTCTAGCGTCGCAGCGGGGGTGGAGATGGCGGACGTCGGCAAAACCATCGTGTGCAAAGGTGGTTCAAACCGACTGCTTCCGTACTACTTTCTTATTGTCACACCGAGGGGGCACGATGTCACAATTTCGATGCTTGGGCTGACCCTTTTATCGAAGCGTGCTGTTTCAAAGCAAAGTTTACTTCTTTCAAAGATCAAATGGTTTTATTCTTCCTGATTTGTGTTCTACAAGTGCAAACATGTTCTTGTTGCATAGCAGAATTCTACCTGCAGTGGCTCATAGCGCTTCGTGCTTGTTCAGACCCCAGTTCAGCACATGCTTATGTGATTGAAAAATGGTGGTGGCACTATACGTCCCGAAAACTGTTCCAATTTTATGAGGAATAAGCCATACGTATAAAAAGGTCACTCTATCGGACGGAGATTGACTAGAATCTCCAGCCTTGACGAATACACGCTCCACACCTGAATCCACCCTAATCTCCAAGCTGACCCCACCCGGCCCCCAAGCTTGGTCTTCATACTCACAAGACTGAGACTTCTGTCTAGATACCCCAGTAGTCTTGCAGAATGCAGCCCTCTTGGTTCCTCGGCTCAAGGCATTCCAGTCCAGGAGCAGTTGACAAAGCCATCTGCACTTTCCTAACCACCTGTATACCAAGGATCCAGACCCAACCGCTTCGCCCTCAGCAACGCCTGCTCAGTACTCATTTCAGAACCATGTCCTTTTCTGCATCGATTTCGTGTTCGAAGTGTCTGCAGCCTGACAAACCAGTCTATATGCTCTGGTGTCCTTGCCCTGATTTCCGTCTATTTCATTCACCCTCTTATGAAGCCATAAGCCCATGGACTCATGACTCATATTCTTGACGCTTGCAGCGGCCATTGCCTGGGGCCCTAAGACCGATCTGAGCATCGAGGACGTCGAGGTCGCGCCGCCGCAGGCTGGGGAAGTGCGCATCCGAATCACGCATACGGCCCTGTGCCATACTGACAGCTACACGGTGAGCCCGAGAGCAGACGCTTCGACTTAGAGTGTCGAGAAGGATTTCTTAGCTCGTCTTTCATTCCTTGGCTCGTGTTCCAGAGATGACTTATCCCTCAGATACTGCACCTAGAGGTAAGAGAAGCGCCTCTAGCATCTGCGGTCCCGCCCACTTTCTGGCAGAGTTTGACAGCGAGGGTGCAGTTAGCATACAACCCTGGGTTTTGAATCCAACCCAAGTTTCTAATCTGATTTTGTTTACATCGATAGTTTGCAGTCTCTTGTGCCAGAGGGGCCATGGGCCACTTCTGCAGGTCATCTCCTGCATTCCCTTGGTCAGCCTAATTTTTAATCACCAAAAGGCTGCAAACCCCTTGACTTTCATTACAGTTGGACGGCCATGATCCGGAGGGCTTGTTCCCTTGTATCTTGGGGCATGAGGCAGCCGGCGTAGTCGAGAGTGTCGGGGAGGGGGTAACCAGCGTAACGGTCGGAGATCATGGTAGGTTTCGATTCTTACCTCTTCTGCGAACTAGAGGGTAGCTCAGCTGCCTGCAGCGTACTTCTATTGCGTCACGTTCCATTGCGGGGTTGGTTTCCTCTTTCTTCATGAACCTTATGCGGAGTGTATATGTAAGTGAAGAGACTTCCTTCGGACAAACGAATAGCTGGTTAGCTGGATTTTAATTGGCGAAGTAGGTGTAAGTATCCTTCAAGGAGCGATGTGGACATGTCAGCAACGCTAATCCGAACCTTCGGTCTTCTGCTTCTTGACCCCCTGCCTAACCCGTGGTTTGCAGTGATACCCTGCTACCAGGCGGAGTGCCGAGAGTGCAAGTTCTGCAAGTCAGGCAAAACCAACCTCTGTGGCAAGGCAAGCCCTCAACGCACATATGTCAATCGCACCGTCAACCGAATGCAACCTCTTCCAGGACAGGGTTGCCTTAGGCAGGAAAACTTTTACCGCGAATCCATCAGCTCCGCTCGTCGTCCTTTCTCGCGATTCTGTTTGATTGTACTGGTTTCCCGAGAGACTCTCTGGACTAATGTCTCCGCTCCTGGCTGCCCCGGGCCTCCGCTGCTGATGCCTTCTCAAGAAGCACAAAGCTGGGCAATCGCTGGTTTTACATCCACGTCTCTTTTTCATCTTTCATTCGCTACCCACGCAGGTGCGGCCTGCGACAGGCGCGGGCGTTATGCTTGTCGACAGGAAAACGAGGTTCACAGCGAGGGGGAAGCCCATTTACCGTGAGCTTTACCCTCTTCCTGTATTCAATCTTGATTTGGTCCCCTAAAGCATGCCACGTCATCCCTTTCAACGGCATCTTTGGCTTCGGTCCCGATTACTGATTCCTCTTGACCCCGCTCTGTCATGATACTGTGTCTGTCTGGGAAAGGACATTGGCTTCGAAGCAAAATCCCCTCGCCCCCACTTGCCAGGGACATCCCGTTAGCTATTGAAACTCTAGGCGGTGTCTTGGCCAGTCTGTCTTTGTCACAAAGTCTCCCGATTTGCTTCTTTTCGCGAATGAGAAATCTATACAACAAAACTCTTAAGCGAAGGTAAAGCAGGTATAGGGGCGGTGGCTCGTCCATCTTCTGTTGGTAGCTCTTCTCTATTCAAATAGATTTTGAAGCGTGCAGATTGATGTTTGCAGACTTTATGGGCACGTCGACTTTCTCGGAGTACACAGTCGTGCACGAGGTCAGTGTGGCGAAGATCAACCCTGCCGCGCCGCTCGACAAGGTCTGCCTCCTGGGATGCGGCATCCCTACCGGTGAGGCTTTTTCCGCGCTAGATGTATCTCGCAGAAAGCTGGCAGAAAGGACTCTTTATAGGTCTTGCTAACCTGCAGGCTTCATTTCAAACCAGGCTCGGACATTGCTCGAGTACCGGAAGCGTTAGTGGCAGTGAACCGTGCACAATTTGGACACATACCTGAGAAGGACCCTTCGTGGGATCGAAAGCAGTTCGCATGCGGAGTGGGTTAAAAGTATGACTGCCCAATGTCTTTTAGTTGCGTACCAATGAAGTGACGTGATTAATCTTTCCGCCTGCAGGTCTCGGGGCTGTTCTCAACACTGCCAAGGTGGAGGAAGGGTCCAGCGTCGCAGTCTTCGGACTGGGCACGGTTGGCCTTGCAGTGAGTACTGCGCCGTTTTGAATGTCGTTCCTTCCGTATTTTAGGCAGACAACTCTGCCATCATCCAGGTTACGCGTCTCAGAAGGAGGAAGCAAAATTGCGGTCCGCTTTTAATCGTTTGATCTGTCAAGGCGTGGGTTCAAGGAGGCTGTCGGGTTCGTTGAGGTCCCCAATCGCGATCTTATGATCGGCTGATGTGATGGACTTCGTTCTGTGATCGTACGTGACATGGGCTCTTCCCGGGCTCTTTTGGCTCTTGAACCGTTTGTTTACTTGATCTTGAATCGTCGCTCAACCCGCTTCCTGCAGGTCATCGCGGGCGCGCAGATGGCCAAAGCAGCTCGCATCATCGGTGTAGACATCGACCCCGCAAAATTCGAAACGGGTGAGCACCTCGGAGAGAGGGGAAGAAGGGGAGGGGGAAGGGGGGGGTCCGCAATCGGCGGAAAGAAGGTGTGGGCCGGCAAAATCAAGGGAGGTATCCTCTTTTGCTGCACTGAAGTTTAGAAAAAGAGGACAGGAAACCAACTCCTCTTGGAGAGTCTGTGGTTCTGGCGTGGTATTTGTCGAAGCGGGCCTGCCAATGTTGCGCCGAGGTTGGGAAGTTTCGGTTGCAGATTGCTGGGTTGAGAACCGTGTCGCAATATCTGTGAGTCGCTCAAAGCTGGGACAAGGTGTTCGCACCAAAAGTGCTGCGATGGTCCGCTAACCGTTCTGTCAACCCGTGCTGCAGCGAAGAAGTTTGGGGCTACGGAGTTCGTGTAAGTCCTTGTCCCTCCTACTTGGAAATTTTTGGACCGGTAATCTGATGCTTCAAGCGTTATAAATCCTGTAATTTCTGTTCCACTCGGGTAGGGCCCGTAGGAAGTTACGGATTGCAGAGTCCACCTGCAGGCCATAGATCTTAAACCAGTGCATGTGTTCGCCACCGTTTCGCCTCCTTGTAGACCTCTTTTCATTCGGTTGAACGATCGTATGAGAGGGCTGGAGGTTCCGGAAAGATTGGCTGGAAAACAAGGACATGTTGGATTGAAAGAGACGGAGTCGAGCGACCAGAAGACGGGAAAGAGACGAACAGTGAAGCAATCTAGAGAGGTTGGTTGAAAAGAAAAGTTCCAGGCCTCAGCTTGTATGGCAGCTGTGTACTACAGCATATTTTAGGTGTGCTGTTGTGGTCGTTGTCCACAGTTGCAAATTCCTTCCTTCTCTGTTACGTGCAGAAACCCGAACGAGCACGAGGAACCGATCCAGCAGGTGAGCCTGTTCTGCGATCATCTTTCTTTCTAAATATCAGTGATGCAAGCCCAGGCCCAGAAGTATGTAGCCGACTGCAGGGAATCGGGCCCCCCTCGGATCTGTCTGATATTGACTTGCTTAAGATTAATACGCACAACCCATCCCGATGACGTTTGCCTTCCTCTGCCCTTTCAAAATGGCGCTCATGCGCCTCGTCTCGCAAACTTCCACGTGACATATATTACAGCACGGCTGTTAGACCCCTTCTTTGTAGACGGGCAGGCTCGGCAGTTGCTCTTGAGGTGGCCCGATTCTTCCCCTCTGACCGTCACGTCGGCCGCTGCGGTTTTTTGTTAGATGGACGGATCTCAGGAAAGCCCGGAACAACATCGTGGTATATTAGGCGGCTGTTAGCAAAGATCGTCCTTAGTTGGCCTCTTGCTAATGCCGATTGTGACCACAACTTCTTTCATTACACATGTGTGCATCACTGAACCAATCCGCGCGGTTGCAGGTTATTGCTGACCTCACCGACGGGGGAGTCGACTACAGCTTCGAGTGCATCGGCAACGTCAAGGTGATGCGAGCCGCGCTGGAGTGCTGTCACAAGGTGAGAACCTTCAGAAGCGTTCTGCGTTGCTTTTCTCGGCCCCTGGTCGATCATTCCGATGAGCCTTCGCCCTACCTAGCACCCGATTCATCCCCCTCACCCGCACTGCCTCTGTGGAGAGCCCCTGCTGGCGTCATGCTGACAAAATACCAACCCCAAAGAGTGAGACCCTTCATCTGTCTAGCCCTCTCATCTCTTTTTCAACTCATCCAACTTCGCCCGTGAATTTTCAGAGTCTCTTGGAAGCAATCACCATTCACCAAGAAACGCAGTTCCTAACGTCATGCGAACTGTTCCTCCAGGGCTGGGGCACGTCGGTGATTATCGGCGTAGCGGCGTCGGGCCAGGAGATCGCGACACGGCCGTTCCAACTGGTGACGGGGCGTACCTGGAAAGGTACCGCGTTCGGGGGGTACAAGAGCCGAACGGAGGTGCCGGAACTTGTCGAGGGTTACCTCAGAAAGGTGGGCTCGCAAACCCGAAAGTAATCTTAAGACAGACCGGTAAATCTTTTGGAACCGATTTTGGAGCCGCTTGACGACTCTCCATTCGCCGGGCAGCTCTCTTACACGACACGGATACAGGGATTCGTCGAGATTCATTGGGGAAGGTACGTCGCGCGTTTGCAGTCGGCTGTAGTGCGTTCCAGCCAGCTGAATGGCCGTTTGTTGCGTTTCCGCTTCGCTGGGCCACCCGTTGTTGGACGTCATATGGCGGAGGACGTCATGTCTTACGGAGCCAGGACGCAATTGAGGTTCTGAGAGTGTATGAGCGTGTGCTCGTCGCTCGGTGGTTTATCTTTCTGCTGCGGACTGACTGAATTTAGCCTACCAGATACCTGATGCGAGCAGAATAGTGACTGCTGACAGATCGACGGAGGGCGATGGAGTAGTCAAGAGGCACTGAGGAGGCGTTTCCGCAAACGATACATCGTTGCATTCAAACATTGGTAAACAGAGCCTATCATAGCAGTGATCCTTTTGGGGCTGATTGCTCTCGATAGCCGGTGTATCAAAGGAGCACCACTTGTCGTCTATTCCGCAGGAGATCAAAGTCGACGAGTACATCACCCACAACTTCCCGCTCTCGCAAATCAACGACGCCTTCAAGCTGCTGCACGAGGGGAAGTGCTTGCGCTGCGTCATCCATCTTTCGCCCGAGTCGAAGTAGAGGGAACCCGAACGTCAAAAGCGTGATAAACCAGGAGCGTCCTCCCAACACAGTGCGAGTGCTTTTCGAAGTGCGAGCAGAGTTGCTGTAGTTGTAGAGCAGTAGCTTGTAGTTGCTCCAATTATTGACCCTGGACCAAAAATACGCCTCCGATGGACACAAGGCGTTCGAAGCTCTATAGAAGATGTCCGAGCATGAATTGCATCACGTCAGCGCATGGAGGTCCTTAACTCTTTGCAGCAATTTGTATCCAAACTGATCGGATTGCACATGTACCTGCTTTCAAGTCAATTTGCGTCATGATGTGACCCAGCTGCATAAGTGTGACTATTTAGTGGTACGCTTCGCGCCGGAAGTACGTCAAAATGATTCTTAAGAGCCGGGCTCGAGTCACGTGACCGAATAAAGCTTTACTATCATGTACCTCCGCGGGCCAGAGCTAGTCGAGCACGGGCGTAAACGTCGAGTGCACGGTGCAGCCAGAAGAGTATATGCTGACGGGACGGTCACCTGCAATCATGAAGCAGACACTATAACACGGGATGCTAAATCTCAGCCCATAGCTCCGGCGAGTGAGTCCGAGTCAGCTTAATTAGCATAACTAAATGATATAGGAAAGAAGGACTTAATTCAACAATACATATGCGCCAGGCACATTGAGGCAAGCGCGGGCGGCTGGCACCAATGATGGACTGCACATATTGAGCTAGAGCCATATATATGATACCTTGCCATGCAGGCCTTTGCATCCGAACGTATCTGATAAACATGGTGACAGTATGTAAGAATGACCATCACTTTTTTCCAACCCGTTTCGTGGGTTAGGCTCGGACTATCTGACAATCATATGATGAGCACCTGTTGACTCAGCCTCCATGACAATGCTTGCCATGACAAACATGTCCACAATAATCAGTTTGGCGCTCTGTTTAAGAAACACTACTAGAATAGATTCGCACGTTGTTCGAGCGACGTCACTCCTCATTCGGATAGCCAAGGAAGCTGTGCGCAGACAAGTTTCACACACGTTTACAAATCAGATTGAACGAAGCGTCCTCCTTCAATCAATGCAATCGATGCTTGACAAATATTGAAACAGCGGCTTATGGACATCAGCTGACTCGTCGACAAGCTTCCTTGTGGCCCGCCTTCCATGCTTTCTTTTGGCACTCTGCAATACATCACACGAAGTTTAGTACATCATGAGCTTGGCAACTGATTGCGCCGACAGCGTATTAGACGGGTGTCGAGCGGACCCTGAATCCTGTGAAGCCGAGAAGAAAAGAGAAAGTCACATCCAAACCCAGTCGCTGGAGGTGTACGAGTAACATACGTCATTTGGTTCTCAAAAATAAAGGCAAAGTAACCTTTACATCATGAAGCGGAAACAAAAGATCCCCTTGGATCAACAAAAGACCAAAATTTATCTCAAAGCTCTGCTCCTTAAATCAAGAATGGATTGCCAAGCCCTCAACAACAGACGCATGAGGCTAGCTTCAAGCTTTCAATCAAAAGTGGATGAGTACCTAGATCCGAACAGGTGGGATGCCATTCTGCATTCTCACGTCATGTATTCATCTCTTCAGGAAATGGAATCTCGCTTGACCATGTGCCCAAGTGCAGCTTTGGGTTCTTTGACGAAGTTCAAAAAGGTTAACCAACCTACCCGGAACGCCGGAGAGCTCGTTTAAATGCAGACTTGAGATCTCACCTCGCCCGCAGTAAACAGCGAGCTTGCAAGCTGAGCAGACCCGAAATTCCCCCGGTTTCGTCTCCTCTTTTTCGCACCCCGGGCCAGAGCATCTTCTCGCAGACTTCCTGCTCCGTGCAACCAAGCCCGTTCTCATCGCCTCTTCAAATGCTGCTTTCTGGTACCTTGACTTATTAGGAAAGACGTAGAGCGTCGGATCTCCCGGGGTGTCTGCTGATAGTATCGCTCGCAGCTGCTTTGCTATTTCTACCACAACCGGGTCTTTCCGCGCTGAGATTTCTGTCTCTTGTTGATCCACAATCACGTCAAACGACCCGTGCTTTAGTATGCAGGCGAAACCAACCAGAAAACGGTGGTCTGAAGGCTCCAAAAATTCTCCGCACAAAACCAAAGCCAGCACCGAGGATCTGAGGGGGGGACTTTTGGGAAAGGGCCTGGAAGGGCCCCCTGGCAAGCGGACACAGTCGTGCAAGCACTTTTGTAGAATCCTGATGGTCCAAAGAATCTCTATTTTCTCAGAGGGGTTGTGAAAGACCTTGGTTGCGAAAAGAAGGAGGTCTGACTTCAGGGCATGCCCGTCGAAGTCATTGCAGACAGCTTGGATGAGGCAAACAACCCGGCGGATAGCGTCAGTAAGACACTGCGGAGAGTCTGCTTCCAAAGCGTACTGCAATACTGCAGTAAAAAACCCCGTGCTCTGAGCTGTCTCTAGCGCGATGTTTTCTTGCAGAAAGAGCTTCTGGAGCGTGCGGACAATCGCATCTCTGGTCTCCAGGTCTGGTCGCTGCTCAGGGAACTTCTTTCGAAGCTTGGACAGAGTCTCCATCTGGAAGATTGTTCTCAGAAGTAATGGCAAGGCAGGAAACTCCTTCAAAATGAAATTGACGGTACGTTTGTCAATAGCCAAGCCAAAAAGAGCCTGCAGGTATGTGACCGGCTTGAGAAACACAAGAGACACGTTGCGAGAAGTACCAGAGCCTACATTTCTTTCTAGCTCTTTAGGATCCGAGGTCAGAGTCCAAGACTGCCCTGCCGCAATATCTTCCAACCCCTGCTTGATCGGCTTCATGATGCCGCTCTCCAGCACAAATGCAGCGGTGTGAACAGCGCTTTCCAGCACGAATTGATCTGAAGCCAAGTAGGTCAAGAAGATGTCCTTCAGACGCCTGACAGCCAAGAAGCTGGTGGTATCATCTGCTGACTGAGCGTTGCTCAAGATCCGCTGCAAGACCTGTGAGCCTTCCGGTCTCATGAGATCAAGATCCTTCGGGAACGGTTGATAAAGTTGATGCAATACGCCTTCGTTTACGGATCGGTAGGCTGCCATCGCGGATCAGAATGTCTGCAACCAAACCGGCGATTCTTTGCTACATTTTTTCATCTTTAGTCCGCTGGTGGCGTCTCCCTCTTCAGGTAAAACTTTGAGCTTCTTCAGTGGAATACTCTTTGTTGTTGCGATGCATGAAGCTCAAATGCGTGAAGATTTTATGTTTGATCACGAGGAGCGACTTTGCAGAGCGCAGGTTGCATGCACCGCACCGAGGTTGGCCACCAGGTCTTTGTTTTTAATGAGTCGTACCACATCTGCTCTGAGCACTGCCCCTCCCTGCAAGGTGAAGCTACATGCAGATACATGAGGCCAAGGCAATCCTTTGGATTCTTGAGAAATCAGCAGGCTCCTCTTAGACTAGTGAAAGGAACAAGTGGCAGTTTCTCTACCTATCGGACCGCGGGTCCTCCGCGTTCCACCGACCAAGAGGCCAATATTCTGAGTGATCAGCGCAAACCCAGAATGTCGGTGTCATGGATCAAGGTAAGCGCCGTAAGGGTCAACTTTTCGTGACAGCGAGGGCCTGGGGACGATCAGCTAGGGGGTTAGGGCGCCAGGCTAAAATGGTGTGTTCGCAGAATGTGCATATAATTCCTTGCGTGCATGTGTCCTCTCGTAAGCGATAAGGAAATGATCGGAGAAAGCAAGAGGCCTTGATTTTAACAGAGAGAAGATAAGGTCGACTTTGCAGTCGCTTTGCTACCTTACTGCTATGATCTGCCATGCGGGCAAGCAACTGCATGCCTGGTGGATGAAGGACTAGGCATGCCGAATGGAACCCGAATACCGGCTATCTCTTGCAAAGGCATCAATCTTCTGGCGTTCGAAGCATCAGCCGTTCAATCTTCGATCAGCGGAATCTCATGTTAGTTAGCATGAGCTATGCCGTAGTCCACAAAGACGGGCTATAGCGTTTATATAAAGCATCTTCATGCTCACAATGATTGCCATTACGTTCGAAGGGTGCAACGATGCAGGTTCTATGCAGACGCGGGCTCCAACATTTTTGAGAGACCTAGAGATCGGTCTCTGCCCAGTAACTCAACCACGTCATCTATGTATACTTTCCCCGTTTTAGAGTCCGTGGCAGCTTGGAGCAGTTCCGCGGCTTCCTCCTCGCTGAAAGGGTGCGTGCTTGACGACATGACCAGATTCTGCACAGAGACGCATGAAAGAAACGCCGTTCAGTACAGCGAACGACTCTTCGGATGGACTTTGAAAATGCAGTCGTGCTAGCCTTTCAAAGCTCGCTCAGATTCTTGAGCACACGAGCTGCCACATGCCAGCGCACTTCGTCGTTACATAGGGGAGCATCTTAGGACCATGTTTAGGCCATTTTTCAAAATGGGTCTAGCTGGACCCGATCTGTTCTGCATGATACGGTATACTGAATCTCTATTCTGGCGGGCTGCGTTGACACACTGGGACCAGCGTACACAGCTCGACCTTCAAGATTCTAAAACGCTGGATGCACGTATGCGAGCATGGATTCAAGTACTTTGGCTCCAAGCAGAGCTCATATCTCGATCCACGCGCTCTGATAAGCCACAAGCAGAATTGAGAAGGGCTCTCTTTCCCACGCGCTGTTCTGACCACTGGTACTACGAAGCAACGTAAAGACGGCCTCACCTTTAGTTCTTCCGCTTCGAAACAGCCTTTGTGCCCAGTATCGACCGCCTGGAACGAGAGGCAGACATTGCGCTTAGTGAAGGATGCACTCTCAAAGCTGGATAATCGCTTGAAACAGTATCGAAGAAGCTCTGACCATCGAATCAGATGCAAAACTGCTGTGCGCAACATGCCACGTCCCAAAGCATCTTCGCGGCTACTTCTGCGTTTTGGAAGTCTTGTCGTATGGGGGTATGAAATGCTGGCCTCTGATGATCGACCGCTCAGGTCAAATGAGATCCTGCTCTCAAACCGTTGGATATCCTAATCGTGGTCATGCCTTACCCGAAGAGCCTTTAGAAGCGTTTCTTTCGGGGTTCGCCGGAATTCTGCTGGACGCTGTGATACAGCACGCCGCACAGCATACTCCAGCTTTTCGAAAGTCACTGTTGGTGGTCCCTTGCTTTTTGGAGCATCAGCAACCGGGGTTCGCATCTGAAGGAACGAGAATGTACCGCTATTGAAGCGCAGATGGTTGTCTCCAACACGCTTTAAGGGCTTGTTCCATAAGGATATGCAGATGCAGCGAATCAAGGACCAAACCCATGATGATTCCATGGATGGCGGTTACAATAATCTCAAGAGCTGTGCCGGAATTGAGAACTGAGTGGTAATCGAGTGAAGGTGCAAATCTAACGACTGCTGCCCCATGTAACGCTTGCTGGCTTCTGGCACTCCCCTCAGTACAGGATCTTGTGAAGGCAAAGGATGGGCTACTCCTTAAAACATTCGGATATGTAGAGATGTCTGCTTCACTTGTGCGTGCATGGCTCCGACAACCGTGTCATTGCTTCATTGACCCACCTCAGCCAGCAACTCCTCAAGCTGTGCCTCCGTTGGATTCAGACCAAGTCCACGTATGAGTGTAGGGACGTCTCTGCACAAAGCAAGATGACAACCATCTAGAACATGGGAACCAGCTTGTACCAGAATTGTCGCAAGTACAGAAGTGTGTCGCAGTCACTGACTCTTCATACCAAGTAATGCATTGTCGCAGCTTCCAGCGGAGCTTATTCAGTTCAAGGCTCACTTTTCTTCGACCTCTCCCTTTTTGTCTCCCCCCTTGAGCTCAAACAAGGTGAACACCTCTCTGATCAGCGTTTCCAAGTCAGGAGGCAGCCGGGGTACAGCTGGTGCCTCGTCTTGCGCTGGACTCGCTTCTCCTGCATCATCTTCAACAGCTGGACCAGCTTCGAGGGGCTCGCTTGGCTGGCTGGTTTCTGGAGCTGACATTTTGGACTACCCAGACTATATCGAATGAAAAGGACAGCGAAGAAGAGACGCAAACGTTCGAGATTTGGAGTTTGGGAGTGTCAGGGCTTTGGATGCGTACGCAGTTGTCAAAGCGATGGTCGAACTTTTGCAACTGAAGTGAGACCGTGCCTCAGCCTTGCGGCGCAGCTTACAGCTTGCTGCAGTATTTCGCCTGAAGCTTTGCAGAATCAATCGAGTTGGCCCAGCTACAAACTTTATTAAACGATGTCAAAACATGTCGTGTACATGAATTTCACCAACAAGAGCCTATACCTGTGTATTGACCAGCAGCAATATCCTGCAAGACATGGACCTTGAACCTGCCTTGAACCTGAGTTCTGTGTCAAGTTCTGACTCCTGAGTCCTGACCCTTTTCCCGGCCCCAGCAGTGATGAATGTCTGATGCCAGCAGCTAGTGGACTCTGGAATGTGATCTGCGCCCCAGCTTTCAAACCGTTTTTCTACATTTTTGCGCGCGCGCATGGATTTGGGTTGAGACTCTGCTGCACATGCCCCAGATCCGCCCTGCCCTCAGAGGCACGGAGTCAAGGCTCAAACAAACCTAACCCGACGTTTTCAACCTGCTCGTAACGTGCCTGAGCTCACAGAGCTAATGTGCTAGCTTGCGCTTGTGGCGCCCATTCCAGTTTCCAGCTCACAAGTAATACACTTGTCTATGAGTTGGGACGCATTCAACCTCAAGAAGAAAGACTTTGATTGGACGTCGATCTACGTATGCAAAATCCTCTGCAGGGACCTTTTGCATGGCGCTTCCATCTCTCCAGGGTGGGCCTGATAAGAGAAAGCAAATTCACGGGTGTCGGCAGCTGCTTTTCCGCTGCTTGCACATGTGCAGGGAATGCTAATTTTGGAGCTTGAGTGGTAATTACACGCACAGACTCTATGGTTGGCGCCATGGAAAGCTCAAATCAGCTTGCGGCGCTAGTGTCTGAGCTTGAAGGGCTGGTCAGCAGTGGGCCTCAAGCCAAGGCTCCGGACCCGCTGGTCACCTTTGACCTCCTGACAAAGCTCCTTTCTTGCCTGAAGACCCAGGATAAGGTGAGCTGGTTTTTGATACTCAATAGAATGCAACCCTCGTGAAAACAGCAGACCGCATGTTGTGCGTCCAAAGTAGAGGTCTACTCCAGCGCGCGGTAGCACTGTCACCAGTCCCTCTCGTAGGCCTCTTTTCCTTTGTATGAGAAAGCGTTTCTTGAAGTTGCTAGATCATCAAAGTAGCAACCAGATTTGATGAAAACCCTAATTTTGGAGACCTCTGGTTGACAATCTGGATCATGGCACCGATTGGTTGAAGCTTGAGAAGCTGTAGTCTTATTGAGGGTTTGCTGGCCTTGTATGTAAAGTTGCTGAAACTGGATTGTCTGGTTAATCGAGTATCTCGCTCAACTTCCTGGAGTGCCCCGAACCTTTCTATGTCCTACTTCTGCATCAGACTACATCGATGGACGCACCATGTGAAGGGTTTCTGCATTCGCGAATGCACACCAATTTAGCAAGTAGCTTAAAGATCGCCCACTGCCTTTGTTCCCTTTCTCTAGGTAGTTAAGATGGTATTCTCGGCTTGAGCGAGGAGACTGAAGATTTGAGCGTTGAATTGGAACCAGATTTTTGCATTGCACAATGGCTTTCAGATCCTTGCATTTTGTAAGTAGCAGGTACATGGCCATGCAGATTGTTAGTGAGTTGAAAGACTAGTAAAGCTTGCAATCCTGAAGGTCTTCTCTGAATCATAGTGCTCGGTTACTCGCAGGACTCAATTGCCAAAGTCCAGCGGCAATGCGAGGACAAGTTAGAGGCGTTGCTCCTTCTGGGCCTGCGACCTCCCAACCGGCGCCTCGCCAGCCAAGCCATGGTCCAACTGATCAGCAAGGGGGAGAACATCTCAATCTACTCCAGAGCAAACGGTATCCAAGGATGGCTGTCTGACTTTGTGGACAAGAAGAAAGATCCTGCAGCATATATAGGTGAGTTGGATCAGGGCAGTGAAATATAACAATTGCAATGATGTTGAAGATGATTATTGAGTGTGGTGTGTTCGTAATGACATGTCTAAAGTGAAGAGCCCTGTAAGGAGCAAAACACTTAAAGATGCAGCTTAGAGGAGCAATCGGTTGCTCAAAAACCTCTAAACTCTGAGCTTGGCACCTTTGTCAGCTGGGAGCTGCAAGTTTCACTTTATTCTTTGACCCTTTGGGGCTCTGAAACCAAGCCTATCTTGGCTTCTGCCTGCAGGTGCGGCACAGTGCCTGGGCGCGTTGATGCGCATCTTTGGTCAGAAGCTGACGTCGAGCCTTCAGGAGATTGCCAGCATTGTTGGCAAGTTGATGAAACATCCAGATGTGAGCAGGCATCTTTCCCCTTCTTTTCTTCGCAAAGCGCTGTCAGCTGCAAGCACAAAGCATTTGCGGGGTTTAAAGATGGGTTGTGAAAATTCGAATCCAGCCTTGTGCTGAAACTATCTCCGGCCTTATGTTGTGAGAACCTCAGCGGGGACCATATACATTGTTGGCAGCTTGGAACTATTTGGGACAAACAACTTGGCTGAGGCATATGAACAAGGGCAGCTCAACGAGGTTTGCAATCCTAGAAAAGAAGTTGATCGAGGGGCTCTCTTAAAACTTTCTTGTCGGAACAGGTCTTGGTGCGCCATGCGGCTCTACAGCTCCTGCAAGACGCCATGGAAGGCACTGCCGGTGGGGGCTCCGCCACTGCGCACACAGAGGCCGTCAGAGTGGTGACTCGCATGGGGGCCGGAGACAAGGCCCCCGCTGTTCGCGCCACCGCCGCGGGCTGTCTTCGAGCAATTGCACGAGCTGGGGGGCCAGGATTGCACGGCCCGGGACTCGAAAACGCTGCGTCGGGATGCGTGAAGGGGTTGGAGGACTCGTCCCAAGCGGTGCGGGATGGGTACGCGGCGGCCCTGGGGGCTCTGGTCGCGCTCGGGTTGAACCCCCAGGCGCAGGTGCAGCCTAAAACGAGGGGCACGCCGGTGCCGGCCAAGACGCTCGAGGGCGCGGTGCAGAAGTTTCTGGTGGCGCCGTTCGTGAAGGCGGCGGGGCCGCACGCTCGGGAGACGCGCATGGGGCTGGCGCTCGCGTGGGTGGCGTTTCTGCAGTCCATGCATAGCACGTACGGTCTGCTGGACACGGACCTCATAAGCTATGGCACGCAGGCAGTGGAGATGCTCAAGCCGGGGGGAAAGGGAGCGGCTGCGCCAGAGCCTCAGGCGCTGGCGTGCATCATTTACATAGTGCGCGTCGGCGTGGTGGAGCAAATGGGGGAGGTCGCGCAGCGGGAGCTCACCACGCAGCTGATTAAGCAGCTCCCTGGCGCGGAAGCATGCGCGCCGATGCTCATTGTCATGCTTCGGACGCTGGCGCACCTTTTGGACGTCCTCGGAGAAGTGTCGCTCTCCACCCGCGAAGCGCTCGACGCAACCCTGACCGCGATCTTGAACAACCCGTCGGCCGCAGTCCGTGTGGAAACCGCGAGAACGATCCGAGCGCTCGCGCTGGTAGACCCCGGGTGCGTGAACGGAATGATGGACTGCGGCGTCACGCTGATGCGTGCGTTACGGGAGTCGGTTGCGGGGGCGCGGGGAGAGCATCTCCGGGCGGATCTAGATTCGTTGCACGGGCAGGCAGTCATGCTAGCGGCGCTGCTGGTGGCTGCGCCAAGGCTGCCCCTGGGGGTGCCCTCGAGGTGAGAGCGTGCCTGATGAGGTCAACTAGATGCTTCGCTTGCTCCATCTTGTAAGGCCGGGGTTGGACTCGAAAAGAAAAGAAGGGTTTGATTACTTTCCCTGGATGCTCTGGTTCTGCGGTCCAACGTCAAGGCTAGCCTTGCCAGCTTCATGTGGAGGAAGGTCTACAAATATGTTGGCTACTAGCGAACGAAAACACGTCTTTCGGGCTTCTGCTAGTTTGTGGGCAATGCACGAACATCATTCAATGCTGGAACTACAACTTGTCTAAGAAGACACCAGTCTGTGTTTTGACCACCGTATGACGCTGAGCTATTGTCTGCTCCCAGGTTGGCCAACTCCATCTTCGAAGTCGCTCAGGAGATGGTTCTGCAGCCTGTCCGCAACCCGGTCGCCACCAACGGCGAGCGCGAAGTCGGGTGGCTGCTCATCGCCGCTCTAGTGGCTTCGATGTCCAAGGACGAGCTCGAAGAACATGCCATCGGCTTACTCGCCCTCTGGGCGATCCCCTTCGGCGGCAACAGCGCCGAACGCGTGAAGAAGGTCGACCCCGCTCTCCAATCAGAGATCGCCACGTGGGTCGCCGCAATGGACGCGCTCGGGGCGTTCATCCGCCACTGCATCGCCCCGCTCGTCAGCCGGAACGCACCAAATTCCGCAACCCTGCTGCAGCCAGTCCTGGGATACCTCTCCGGTGCGCTCCAGTACCTGTGCTCGCCCGTCCTGCAAGACGCGGCCGCGCTTCGGGCCAGCATGGAGCAGCTGACAATCCGGACGTTCGACGCGTACCGGGCGCTTCCGGACGCGAACCTGTACAAGATCGACCACGTGCCTCTGCTGTCGATCTGCACACTGCCGTTCCGGGACGCGGCGAGCACTCCCTCCAGCTCCTGCCTGCGGACGCTTCTGAACCCCGCGGACGCGTCGCTCGGTCCGTGGATGCCCGGACGGGACAGCTTCGAAGACGAGCTGCGCGCCTTCGAGGGCGGGTCCGACGGTCTCTTGCCCTGCGTGTGGGCCGCGGAAACGCCGGCTTTCCCGCAGCCGCTGTCGCAATCCGTCTCGCTGGTCGACGCGATGCTGCTCTGCTTCGGGACCGTCTTCGCGACGCAGTCGGAGGCCAAGAAGAACGCGCTGCTCGACCTGGTGGTGACGTCACTCAAGTCGGGGCGCAAGCAGCCGTGGCGCGTCGCGAACGCGGCCAACATCGGCATCGCTCTGCTGGGCGGTTTGAAGGCCGCCTCGGGACGGGGCAAGGAGGTCGCCGAACCGGAGATGTGGAAGAAAGCGGAAGCGCTGATCCAGGGGGTTCTCCAAGCCGACCCTAGCTCCCCCGTTCTGCGTCGCGCTGCCGGCGAGGCGCTCGGACTGCTGGCAAAGCTGGCAGATGACGCGTTCAGGGTTAGGTTAACCCGGTCGCTGATCTCGGAACTAAGCGTGGCTGCGGACGATCAGCACAAGGCCGGGATGGCGTTTGCGATCGGGTGCATTCACAGAAGCGTTGGTGGGATGGCGCTGCAGACGTTGGTGCCGGGGACCGTGCAAGCGCTGACAAACCTGGCGAAAGAGCCGGCAGAGGGGTTGCACATCTGGGCGCTGCACGGGCTGTGGCTGACGGCGGACGCGGCAGGGCTGGCGTTCTTCCCGCATGTACAGGTTAGAGCGTTTGAGTGCCAGTTTGTTTGCTGATATGCTGGGGTTGTCTTGCTCGTGACGAAGCAAGATGGTATCAAATGGGTATTGTGCCATTGCCAAGTCAAACACTAAGATAAACCTGGAGAAGAGTCCAAACCGCCACGACTGTTTGGCAAGAGGTTGTCATGCGTCCTTCTATCTTAAGAGCACAGTGTTAAGCTCTTGCCTCAGTGCACCAGCAAGTGACAACACACCGATACCCTAGACAAAAAGCTTTTGACCAGCAATGCCCGTTTACAAAAGGCTTTCTTCTTCCTAATTACCCACTCTCCTCTCTTGTGCAGGCGACCTTGTCCACGTGCATGGACGTCCTCATGTCCGAACCCCACTCGTCCCCGGAGCTTCAGCCTGCCGTCGGCCGCCTGGTGAACGCAATGGTCGCCGTTCTTGGGCCGGAACTGTCCTCTGGGAGCCGCGTCTTCTCGCGGTGCCAGTCGATCGTGGCAGACATGAGCACCGCAGAGGAGCCCACCGCGCAACTAGAGTGCGTGCTGTACGCGCAGCAGCTGGTGCTGTTTGCGCCGCAGGCGGTGCCGGCGCACAACCTGGTGGAGACGCTGCGGGCCACGCTGTCGTCCCGGCAGGTGAGTCCCGGTAACATCGGTTTCCTCTGGAACTTGTACCACCTTACATAAGGTTCAGAAACTGGTGGTTATTGTTGGAGACATTGAAGCGGGCTCATGGACATTATGAGGGCAACGCTGCCATGCCACAGGTTAGTTGCAAAGTCGTCTGGTCCCGAGTAGAGCTCGTCGAATTTGATTAGTTTGCTCCGTCTGTGACGAGGGGGCTTGAGGGAGGCTCCCCCGGTTTACGCTGCTTCGGGAACGGATCCCATAATATAAATCATCTCTTCAAAGCCGCGTGCTTGCTTGAAGACGCTCAACGGCAACTCGTTTCACAAGGCTGTCTGCCCGAATCGTCCGTCGTTCAGTGGAAGAAAGCGGGTAGCCTTGCTCTGCTACATGGTGAAGCAGACCCGGTAATATCTGCTGCTACCTGAGCCGGATGTTTGAGCTCTTGCCGACCGACGTCCAATTGTCATCCACCACATTCCCTCTGGATTTGTGATATTCTCCCTTGATACACGAGGCTTCGAGAATCTGGCACAGAACTCTAACATCGTATATAAAAGTAACATCGTATTGACAATCTGACTCTCTGCGGTCCTCTGCAGCCGTCGCTCCGCCACGCGGCCATTGCCACGCTGCGCCACCTGTCGGAGCGCGACCCGCTGTGCATCATCCCGGAGCGCATCGAAGAGGACCTCTTCGCGATGCTGGACAGCGAGACGGACGCCAAGATCACGTCCGGCGTCCGGCTCACCCTCGAACGCCTCCTCGAAGCCGCGTGCCCCTCGTGCCCCTCGCGCTGGCTGGGCCTCTGCAAGAACGTCGTTCTCGCGGCTTCGACGACGAAGTCCGCCGGAACACAGCCCAACTCGCCGACGGCGGGCAGTGCCGCGAGCCCAAAAGCGCCCGATGACGGAGGGCTTGGCGAGAACGACGAGGAAGGGTTTGGGGTCGTGGCGGCGGCGCCTGCCGGGGCCGCCGCAAAAGACGGGCCGAAGGCGGGGAGCAGTGACCAGGACCATTTGCCGCGGTACCGGACACGCGTGTTTGCGGCGGAGTGTTTGGCGCGGTTACCTGCCGCGGTTGGCGGGGAAGCGGCGCACTTCGATCTGGAGAAAGCGCAGGAGGCGAACTGGGCCGCCGCGGAGAAAGGCCTCGTCGGGACGGACTGGCTCGTTTTGCACTTGAGCGAGCTGGTGGGAATCGCGTTCCAGATGGTGACAGGGCCCCTCGAGATGCTCCGCCCCATGGGCGTAAACCTGCTCAACATCGTTTTGGAAAAGTTCGGCGCGACGGACGACCCCCACTTCGAGGGACACTTGCTCCTGGAACAGTACCAGGCGCAGCTTGTGAGCGCGCTGCGCGCGGCGTTCGAGCCGGGGGCCGGGCCCCTGCTGACGTCAGCGGGCGCGCGGCTGGCGGCGGTCGTGATCACGACGGGCGTCGCGGCCGGGGACCGGGGGGTGCTCCAGCGCGTTTTGACCATGCTGTGCACCCCCCTGGGAAAGTGGGACGCGCTGAGCCTGCCGTCGTACGCCGAGTGGGTCGGGTCCACCGTCAAGGTCTCGCTGCTCGAGGCGCACGCCCACGTCAAGTGCTTCGCGTGCGCTGACGTCAGCGGCGGCGACGTCAGCAAGAGTGACGGGGGCTCGACTCCCGGGACGCCGGTGGCCGAGGTCCTGCGGCCGCTGATGCGCCCGCACGGGGCGGTGGTCGCGCGATGTTGGGTCGGGCTGCTGCGGGACTACGCGGCGGGGCGGCTGCTGACGTCACCCTCGGCGGGGCGCTACCAGCCGTTCCTGCAGGACAGCCATTCGGCCGCCGCGAAGGCTGCGGTGCGCCCGCACTTGGAAGCCGCCTGGGTCCAAGTTTTTGAAGCGGTGACGATCGGTGTCAGCCCGGCCAACCAGGCGGCGCCAGCTGTCAAGTTCCGAAACGGATCTGAGGCAGGGGCGTGGGGGAATGTGATTGACAGCAAGGAGTTTGACCAGCTCTGGGGGATTGCGCTGGCGGTTCTCAGCGAGGGGGCCTTGTTGGGGGGGGGCGCGGCGGGCGGCGGGGCTGGCGCAACCCCTGCGGAGCTGCGCAGGGTAGCCCTACGGGGCCTCAAGTGGCTGTGCGCGCCGGCGTTTTGCACGCACGACATGCTGTCGACAGACTTGTGCCGAGAGCTTTTGCAGGTACGCCGCTTTCTTCGCTTCTTCTCTTCTGCTGTAGCGCCTTCATGAATGGCACCATTGCTTCGTCTGCTGCTTTCTTCTGTCTTGAGGAAGTGCTGCTTTCCTGGGCTTTTGATCGACTCCTGCTTTTATTCTGGCCTGAATATTGGCTGGGATGTCTTTCCAACCACAGCCGAGTACATCCTCGTTTGCATAATGCGTTCAAATGCTTGGATTGCGTTTACTGTCTTTGCTTCTTCTTTGCTTACCCTGTTGCCTCTTCTCAGCAAGGCCTCGATCTCTACCCACTTTAAAGCACTGTCCAGCTTCCATTATATTGTCGACGCCCGTTCCCATATCTTTCTTCTTCTCTCGATCCTTTAAAAATCCTACCTTACGGGTGCTTCAGACGGTTGCCACCTCCACCACTTGCTTTCCAGGCACTCTCCAGCCTCGTCGTGTCCTAAGGCTTTGACACGTTCAGATCCAAGTGTTATCAACTGCCATTCCTCATGCCTTCCTTTGAAAACCTACTTTTCAAGTTGCTCTAGACGATTATCAACTCCGCGCCTTGGCATTCTCCTCCAGGCCCTGTCCAGTCTCGCCGCGTCCGAGAAGGCCGCCCTTCAGCAGCCCATCCTCGAGCTCCTGGAACAGCTGACGTCATCCACCCCCGAGGACTACCTCAGCGTGGACTCGCTCCTTCGCGACTCCGCCGCCGAGCTCGGGCTCAGCGAACTGCGCCTGATCCTTGGGGCCAGTTCCGGTTCCGTTTCCGGTTCGGGCCCTGCGAACTCCGTCGACGACGCTTCGCTGCAGGCGGCGTACAGGGCGCTTGGCGCGCTCGCCGCTCGCGCAGGGCCCGACGGGCAGACCCGCCTCGTGCCGCAGCTTTTGGCCGAGGGGTTGGGGGCGTTGCAGAGCGTCCCCGTTTCGGGGGGGGCGCTGGCCGCGACCGTTGAGTTCCTGACGGCTCTCGTGGGCGCTTCGGGGGGAGAGAAGAGGGCGCAGATCGTGGGGGGATTGATAGAGAGTCTGGCGGAACTCGCCGAGAAGCAGATGGCGGTTCTGAGCGAGAACGCAGGGATTGAGAATCAGCCGAGCACGTCGCTGTTTGAGACGGGGACCGTTGCTCCCGTTTCCCCGGTGGCGGATGCCGAAGCGCGGCTTCCGATTGTGTTGACGGTCCTCGGAAACGCCGCGAAGGCGCTTTTGGGCGAAGCATTGGCGCCGGCTAAGCAAGCGGTGCTCCGAAGCATCGGGGTGCTGCGCTCGTGTTTGAAAAACCAGTCGACCGTGGCCCAGTCCATCGCTCTGCAGACGATGCGAAACGCGCTGCAAGCAGCCGCCGCCGGGGGCGCAAAGGACCCCCCCACGGGAGAGTGGGCGCGCGCGCTCGCTCGGGAGCTCACCCCGGACGTGTGCGGGGTGGTGCACGCCGCCAGGTCAGCGCTGACGTCAGAGCCCGCCGCCGCGTCAGCGATGACGTCGGCGTCGGCCAACGTCCTCGGGGACTGCCTGAAGGTGCTCGTGCTGCTGCACTCGCTGGCGCAGGGCGCCGCCGCGCAGGAGGGGGTGCTAGCGGTCCTGCTCGCAACCGTTATCGCCGCCGCGACGCCTCCCCCGGAGGGGCACAACGCCGCGTCTTCGGGGCTCGCGTCCCTGGCCGTGAAACTTGTTACCCACTTGGCGACGGTGCCCGAAACGGCCGCCCAGTTCAAGGCCGTGGTCGCGTCCCTCCCCCCCGAAACGAAACAGCAGCTCCAGGCGGTGCTGAGAGCCTCAGCGGGGCAGCCGGCCGCAGCTGCGGCGCCTGCGGAGCAAGTGAGGGGGGGGGTCAGCGCCCCCCCGAAGCTGGTAATCCCGCTGAAGGCGTTCGTACCCCCCCCCAGCACGGGAGCGGGGATCCGGGTCGTGGTGCCGCAGAAGGCGCCGAAAGCTGCGAAAGAAGAGGACCTCGACGGAGACTGGGACGACGACGAGCAGTGGGGCGAGGCCAAGGATGCCACGTCAGCAGAGGGTGCCACGTCAGCAGAGGGGGTCACGGCAAGTGCGGATGCCACGTCAGCAGAGCCGGCGGTGGTTAAGGAGAATGGGGACGTTACGGTAGCGTCTGCGGCGGACGAGTTTGACGAAGACGATTGGGGCGATGAATTCGAGTCGGCACCGCCGGCAGCGGAGCCCAGTAAGCCAGAGGGACAGGAAGCGGAGGCGGTGTTTGCTGAAGTCAGCGGCGCAAAGGAGACGAAAGCTGACGTGGCAGCGGAGCCCAGCGAGCCGGAAGGCAAGGAGGCGGAGGCAGTGGTTGCTGACGTCAGCGGCGGGAAGGAGACGGAAGCTGACGTCGACGAGAGGAAAGAAGAGGCGACTGACGTCAATGGGGAGCAAGAAGCGAGGGCTGAGAACGGCGAAGCTGTCAACGTCGAGGAGGGGTCAGGCAGTGGGATAGGCGGTGATGAAGGCGTTGAAGACAATTCCGAGGCGGAGCGAAGCGAGCGGATTGCTGAGGTCGCTGAGGGGCAGGCGGAGAGCCCAGAAGGGGATGAAGATATTGAGGCGCCTGCGGTGCTTAATCGGGCATCGCCTGCCGTTGAGGAGCTTACAGGAGACTCGAAGGTCGAAGCAGGGCCGGCGGAAAAGGGAGAAGTGGATGGGAAGGAGTCTGCTTCACGGAGGTCCAGTCGAGCAGATGATGAAGGTCAAGTGGCGGAAAGAGGAGAGTCGACGCCAGACGCACTGTCGAAACGAGCGTCCGAGAGCTGGGGGGACGAGTTTCTGAGCGCCCCGCCAGTTGGCGCCGCTGATGCGGATGCCGATGCGGTGCCGACGCCGGAGGCTCCGGGCGAAGTTCTGAAGGAGGAGATGGAAGGTCCCAGTTTTGCAGCGGAAAGTGCAGACAAAGAGGAAAACGCTGGGCTTTTGAACGGCAGCCTTGAAAGCTCGACGAGAGAGGCACGGACGTCGCACGAGGGCGCGGAGGAGCACGCTCAAACGGAAGCCGAAACGACGGCCAAGACCAAGCCGGTTCCGGTTGAGATTCTGCTCGAGGAGGCAGCGGAATCCATCGATGTTCCGACGGGGCAGACATTGCAAGCGCCGGCTTCTGAAAAGTCGAAGCCGAAAGCTGAGGGTTTGAAAAGCGGTGACGTGTCTCTTGGGAGCGCGGCATACGCCCGCGAACTGGAGCATGCGGCGGAAGCCCTTGCGAACAGCGTGGTTGAAGATGTTGTCGCGGCTGCGAAGAAGGTGAGCGCGGGTGCAGAAGGGCCATCCAACGGGCATGCAGAACACATGGAGCACGTACGATTTCCAAAAGACCAGATTGGCCTTAGCAGCGGAGCGTTGCCTTCTTCGGATAGTCTAGGAGTTGAGACGGGCGGACAAGAATCCCAAGATCTGAGTGCAAAAGCGGAGGAAGCGCCGTTGTAGTTGGACTGCTCTCCAATGCACGCTCACCGACAGCGGGACGAGCATTGGCGAAGAGATCGCAGAGCTACGCATTCAATTGACTGTTTTTGTGTATCTGGGAGCAAGGCCAAGGAATGCCCAAGCTGTGCCTAAAAGCCAACAATGTACTATAAAAACACCTTCCAACCGGCCCTTATACCGGGTGGATCCGCAAATCGTATGTTGAGGGAATCCCTTCTTGCCAGCATCACTCGCCTTTGAACACACGAACATCACGTACTGTCAATTCTAGCTTGCCATGTTAATACGGACTTGCGCTTACATATAAATCTACAATACAATAAGTTGGGAGATCTGCAATGATGTGCAGTTCTTCCGACATCAATATACTCATGCGAGCTAGCTCGCCCTTAATCCGGGTATGCATGCGTGCCAGCGGCCTCAAGCTCTTATGTGAGCCAGTGACGTACATTGCTTGGCGGGTGTACATGCATGTGCACGATTGGAAAACGGTTGAAACTCGATGATTGATATGACTGCACACTGACGGGCCAACAGCACCGAATGCATTCAATGCTTACGCACGTCAATCCGGCTCGAGCCAGACAAACGGTTGAAAAATGTCAACGTGCATGATTTTCAAATAAGTTCAACAAGAGAACTTGCAAGCATGCCGGACTATAGAAAGACACAACAAGAATCAGAAGAGTGACCGACTTTTGACTGCATCCGGTACTTCATGAACTCCGAATAACTTATATAAACGTATGTTTATTACAACACAGAACCATGATCGCAAGGAACCTACCATCTGCACATTTACTGGCACTCTACCTAGGCTGGCATTTTCTCCTTTTCCCCCTGAATCTCACAGACAACCGGCCTCGAATCTAACTCGAGCGGGCCTGGATGCAGCTACGCGCGTGCTTGTATCTAACTCAGCACTAGGGCGTTCGGCGCGGGGCCTGGTGGGCCGACGTTCACGACTCCGTATGTAAGTTGCCACGTGGGCGCCGTAGCATTGGTTGTGGCGTTGACGGATGGGAGGTATTGCCAGAGTTGAGTGAAGTAGGCTCCATAGGCGACGTTGTACTGCAATGTAAAACCAGCAGGCGTCTTAAGGCTGAAAGCACCCGTGAGCAACAAAGGCGTCCATGTCGCTAGACATATAAGCTGACCGCAGATACCCTTTTGGAAAGCAACACGGAGGAAGAAGCAAGGACAGGCCTATCCACAAGTCGCTAGCCACTTGCAGATGCAAATCTTCCGAGGTGGCAGGACAAGTGAACTACACGGAGCGTGGAATCCGATCAGCGAAACACATCGAAGAACAGGTAAAGTCCGCAGTCCTCTTTTGACAATCTCACTGTTGAGGACTTACCGCGAGTGCCGTGCCGAACAGCTTGGAAGTCAGGAGCACGGCCACGTTGCTCAGTTGCCGGTACGCCACGAAGCTTTGCGCCGTCCCGTTTGCGGCGGTGTTATTCCGTACTTGCTGGGCAAGGTTGATGACCATGGGGTCGGAGAAGTTGAGCCTGCGTCGGGACACGTGGCAGGTGTCAGGCCCTGACGTCAGAGATGCGCAAACCACAGCTGATGCGAGACATGCGCGCGCGCGTGCCAAAGAAACGCGCGACGGCTGGCTTACTTGGGGACTCTACCGAAATCTAGAGGGAGAAAAAGGGAACGTCACAACCTGTGTTACAAATGGGTTTACTTTTCGTGGACCCCCTTGTCATAGTAATGGCTGTTCGCAGACTCCAGAAGGACTCCAGTTGCTCTAGACTTTTCGCACCATCTCGGGCAGCTTATGGGCTTGGACTGACGGGTTCACTGCAGCCATCGGTTTGATGCATGGACGGACGGTGAAACTGTCTCGACACCTTCTCGAGAACCATCCGCAGCAGCTTCAGGTAACTGGACAAAACCACCAAGCATGGTCGATGCCAACCTAACAGCCCAGTGTTTCTGCCTCCCTGTATTGGCATGTCAACTTCGCGGTAAAGCTATTTTATTCGTGTTCCTATTGGCTAAACCCTTGCAACCTGCCAGCGTGGCATCAATGAGCATTGACCTTGAAGACCGAAAACCGTTGGCTCACCTTCTACTCTATCTACACCGTTGACTGTCAACAAACGATCGTCCGGGAGACCCTAACCTACTAGACATGCATCCTCAAACCCACTCTAACCCACTCCAACCCCCAAGTGCCCAAACACTGCCGCACCCAGAGGCCACAACTCAGACACATTGAATAACCGAGACTAACCCCGAAAATTACTCCCGGTTAGGGAGGCCATTTTCATTACTGCGAGGTTGCCTGGACAAACTGCACTGAATGGCGAAGCCTCCCTTCCAGAGCGATACAGCACGGCAAGTACACGACGAACCAGGCTAACCACTTTTCACACGCAAGGCTTCCGAAAGAAGAGTATTCACTCACGGCGCAGGGCCCGGAAGCGTGGCGATCGCGAACTCCGTCCCTGGCGCGACATATGGGGCCGTGGCATTCGCGAGAGCGGCGGCGGTTGCGTTCGTGCTTCCATTCAGGGGGGCCGCGGCAAGCGCCGCCAAAAACGCGTTGGAAGCGCTTACGACCGCCCTCTGAATGCTCGTGCTGTTTTCCGTGCTTGAAGTTGCGCTTGCGTTTGCGCCGACCGTGACGTTGGGCGCGTTTTGATAGACCGGCATTGTGGTGTTGACGATCGGGGCGGTGTCCGCGGGGGTGATGTCAGCAAACGAGACGGTCCAGCCGTCGGATAAGAGCCGCCAGAGCGCCGTGATGTATACGTTGCCCAGCTACAAAGAGGATGAGAAAAATATGGAGGATGCGTCCAGAGGTTGAATGTTTGGAAAGTTAGAGGTTGCGCACCCTGAGCGGAGTTGCTTTTCGAAGCTTAGAGGTTTGTAGTTTCAAATCCAGGAGCGCCCAATCCATGGAATTAACATTGAGAAGTAAGGACCCGTATGCAGCTTTTGAAGACTGTGCGCGTGGATTTGGAACGCGGCTGCGAAACACGTTCTTTCGTAGCTTCGTGATCAGACTTGTCAAGCCCCCAAGACATCTTGTTGAAGCGACTACTCCAAACCAATGGATATGAGAGCGTGAGATGCAAATGCGCACGTTCTTCAAACCTTGTCATTCGCATGGCAGCACACGACCCACCAAACGCACGTTTGTTTTACACCCCGGCTGATGCTCGCGCAATTCTCCGATGACTTTGAAAAGCAATGGAAAAGGCAAAATTTCATGCGCTTACGATAACAGCGATGACAGGGATCGATGCAAAAGGCAAATTGCATGCGCTTACAATACCAGCATTGAACGCGATGCAAAAGGCAGGTTGCATGTGCTCACCTGACCAGCGGCTAATATTTGCACTGTGATCGAGTTGTTCGCGTCGATTGAGATAAAGAGGCGATCGACTGGCTCAGGCAGACCGGTTGAGCCGGGAAGGGGGGATAACCTCCCGGAGAATAGAAGCAACGTGTTAATGTTGGACAACCTGCAGAGAGGAGACGCTGAAATCCTTTGCACGTGACTGGCTGGTGAATTTCTGTCAAGGTGATTATTCTTCCTCTCGTTACAGAACAGATTTGTATTGCGAAAACAATCGAAATGGTAGAGACAATGATTACATAAGGTACGATAGGCATGCTAGCAGAGAGGGAAATGAGATGCTGAGCGAGAGAAGGTGGGAAAAGTGGAGTGGGGGAAAGGAGAAGAAAAGAAGCATGAGTCCAAAGTGTAGACTGGGAGAGGATTTCTATGAGGGGGACGGATTCGCTGAGCATAGAGGTGGGCCGACGTTAAAAGGCGAAAATTAGAACGAGTTTTGTTCGGGAGGTCCCGAAAACAAGGGATCGATATGGATCTAAACACTGAGGAAGAAAGGGCGAAACAAAAACGGGGAACGAAGCTAAGAGGCAAATTAGTGGCACGTGTCTACTCTCCACCCTTTGAAAAAAGGCAGACTCCCAAGATTACAGGATGTGAGTAGAACGGTGGACAGGCGCTCACGTGAGCGGCGAGGTGAGATTGGGAAGCACCAGCTGCACGTCGGGGGTCACGAAGTTTGCGACCGCTAGGAAGTTGCCACCTGTCAGCGCCGCGACGAGCTTATCATTCTCTGCCTTGATAGCCTGGTACGCCGTCAGAGTGGCGTTGGTTGGGGTAACTGCAGAGGAATATAGACAAGCTTATTGACCTTGTGAGAATAGCATGTTAAGGATCAATAACCAGGTGGTTAGCAATAACCCCGTTTCGGCAGCAGGGTCTCGAACATACTAGGGAAAGGGCATCGATGAGCTGGGGAAGGCGCCACGGCGGCGCGCAATTGGGAACAGCGGCTTGCAATTGCAACACGGCAAAGGGCTGCTGCTCGTGGTTCACCTTGAACCAGATGCATCAACTTCACACGATCTTGACGTATTACTTCAAACAGAAGAGTCGTGCGAACATGGGGCTTGTTTGCGCAAGGGACCAGTTCCCTCAAACTCAGATGAACATGACTACCTGCCTCCTAATTTCTTGATTTCTCTTCCCAAAGCCCAAATTAGCAATCTTGCTTTGCCCCAGAAGACTCGTAGAGTCAGTTTTTTGACCGCTTCGTATCTCGGTGGTACTCTGTACTAGAAACGCTGAGAGTTCGTGAAACAAGCTGCTGCCTTGACATAAGCCATCGGTCGTTGAACACGCTACTTTTGACAGTGCAGCAAAGGGCCTGAGAGATGTTCACCTTGACATGTCCCTAAACTGGCAATGTCGGGAAGTATTGGCAGGGACGTACTGCTGGGGACACAGCTGCAAGAAAGCAGGAACACTGCTCTTGATTATATTAAAAAGGATGCGATGGTAAGAGATCTTTCAGTGTTCTTTGTGCAGAACAACAAGAACTTTCACAACTCCAAGGGCAGTGCCCTGGACCTGAAGCAGAAGCGACTAGACTGGAAAAGGTGGTGCAGCGCCCTGAGTGGAAATGCCCCACAAAATAACAACAACAACTGTGAAGAAGCCAGAAAAAGAACAAGGAGCAAGACGTGCGTGGTGTGACTACATTCTAAGTATTGCTGCAAAGTGCATAATGAAATCTGAAGAGGAGAAGGGTGTCTCTATGCAGGTGAAAGTACAAATCTCTTGTTTCTTTTAAATTAAGGACACAAAGTGGTGTAGTGCCCTGCAAACAACCTCTCAGGAGGCTAGCAACTAGAGAGGCTTGGACATGGTTCTACACTTGGTCCACGTCTGTTCGTTAGGAAGAAAGTTGATGGTGTAAGAACTTCCTTGCACAACTCCGCTGTCTAATGAAGGACACTGCCTCAAAACCGACATGGTTTAACCGTCATGGAGAGAATCACGTCGGGAAGATAAAAGGGGAAAGTACTGAGACAAGGTCTCTAGTTGGTGATGCGCACGTGAGTCCACTCGCACAAGTGATGGGGAGAATGTTGCCCCCTGAGCGGCACTCCTCTCCTTGCCCGACCACTGTTTGTCCTGCAGTAAGAAGAGGTGACAAAAGAAGTTCAAGTGCGCTCCACCAGTGCAGAGGCCCTCCTCAAATGAGAGTAATTAGCTATAACTGAGGGGAGTACCTCTTGTCTAAATTGCAACTTTTTGCTCTAAGCTCTACTAAATGCACGGGGGCAAAAAATTCCAAGGGCGAACACTGTTGACCAGTCCGCATTGTCAATTACTGACTTTACCTTCACAAATGCACAAGGAAATGACAGCTACTTGAGGGGAGAATTGTAGGTTCAAGCAAGAAAGGAGAGGCACATGATGTTCTTCTAGTCCAAGTACGTCAGCATTTTTACGCACGCAGGGAATATGGCAAGCGTGACGTGAGTGAAAAACTGAACCTCACCGTTCACCCCAGCTGCAAGCAGCAGGAAGGCAAGGGAGACTGCCCAGGCCGCCATGGTGAGTCCGTCTGTGGATTCCTCTGGGTTTAGGCGCCTCTGCAGCTGAGCAGAATGACAATTAGAGCTTTTTGGGGCACCTGTTCCAACTTTCAAGGTCATGCAGGGCACCAAACTTCGGCCACCGTGGCAGCCACGTGGGAATGGGTTTGCGTTACCTACCAGTGATTGACGACGTATGGAAGCACAATACCGGTTATCAGGCCCAGGGACTCCGTAGAGTTGGTACGTCAGGTGAAATTGAGTCCGAGTCGGGACTCGGGAGTCGGAAACCGGGCATAGTGTGCTGCATATGCTATGTACCCAAATCTACGCGCGCGGCATTTGCGGAAAAGAATGATGGCGCGCTAAAGAGAGCTTCATGCGCACCATTCAATCTCAAACTTAAAGCAAGAAGGTCCATTGTCGCCCTGAGACACGGCATTTCGCAGGCTCGGAATGTTTTGATGGAGAGCTAGCTAGCCATCTTCCTCCGTGCAGGCGGGCCGCTTCAACGGTCTGGAGATAAATCTGGGCCAAGATGTCTATGTAAGTGACGTCTCGCTGCGCAGCTCTCCCGCTCCTTTATGGTGTTTGCAACCATCTCCAGAAGAAGCATCTTCAACCTCAACCTTTACCCTCTCCTTTGAAGCCCACCGTTCTTTACACCACCTTACACACCGTGCTCTGCCCGTGTGCAGGACCAGAATTTGTGTCAAGAACCTGCCCAAGTATCTCACGGAGGAGCGCTTCCGCGAGCACTTTGCGGCCAAGGGGGAGGTGACCGACGCTCGGATCGTGCGGACAAGGTCAGCAACAAACCTGAACTTTCAGGCTGGCCACCACTATGACATCAGCGCGTGACAGCAGCATCTTGAATAGCTGAGTAGTGGCATGGTAACTTCTTTGATATATATTAGAGAGTGGTGGTGCAAAAATGTTTCGTCGATTTATCACCCCTGAACAGATTTTGGATACAGTTAGACTGCTGAGTTGTGGCATTGTGACATAGTAACTTTTCTGATGTTTATTAGCGTGTGGTGGTGCGAAAATGATGTATCAGATATATCATCTTTTGATATATTTACCCCTGAAAAAGGTTTGGGATACAGTTCGGGCACTCAATGGTGTCCTCACCTGTCTGTCTCGGCAGCGATGGCTACTCCAGGCAGTTTGGGTTCATCGGGTACAAGACTGAGGACGAAGCGTTTGAGGCGTCCAAGTATTTCAACCGCTCCTTCATTGACACTTGTCGCCTCCAGGTCGAGGTGAGCAAGTCCTGTTCTTCTCGACGAACCCCTATCATAATGGGAGGACTTTTGAGTTGACTTTTGAGTTGTACAATCATGAAGGAAGTTGGCTGTGCAAGGTTACACTAGCTTCAGGGCACGAGCTATTTGGTGGTGGGACTTGATGGGTCATTGCGAAGCTGTCACCCCTTATGATTCATTCATCCGATAGATTTGCTTTCAACTGCGTGGAGTGATCATGATTTTGGCTTGCCCGGAAGGCGTTTTATCTGCTGCTACGGGTCATTCCAAAGGCCCCACAGTGTTCAAGCAACTCAATGCATGGTTCAAGGCCAATTTGGTCCAAAAGTTTCTTCTAAACTGAACCAACCCGTCCCCTGTCGCATCTCAACATGACCACTGCATGCTGCTTGGAGCGCCGATCACATCACAAGTGGAAGTTTGATGTAGCGTACTCATCTTGTGTCTTAGCACATTCCTAATCATGATGGGTCTCCTCTTCTGCTCTCAGATTGCGCGCCCGATTGGTGATTCTGGCATCCCCCGCCCCTGGAGCCGTCACTCCCAGGGCAGCACCGCCTTTGTGAAGTCCCACCCAGAAGCCGCGGAGCCAACTCAAGAGGGGGGGGCAAAGGGCAGGAAAAAGGGGCCCCCTAAGGAGGGAGAGGACGAGGAAAATGACCCGGCACTGAAAGAGTTTTTGGAGGTTATGCAACCGCGAAGGAAGACGAAGCTGTGGGCGAATGACACGGCGGTAGGGACGACGGAAGTGCAAAAGGGGAAGTCGGTGGAGTCGAAAGCTGCGAAGGGAGAGAATGGGGGAAAGAAAGGAAGGCGGGATGAGCCTGGGGAGGATGCTTTTGAGAGCGACAGTGGAGACGAGAGCGATCTGTATGAGGATGCGCCGGGGCTGGCTTCAGAAAGGGGTGGAAGGAAGGGGGCAGAAGCTAGTGATGAGGGGTCTGATTCTGAAGCAGACGAGGGGGGGCCCAGTAAGGAAGTCGACGCACTGAATGATAGTGACTATCTGAAGAGCAGGGTCAAGGCTGATTGGAGTGACGAGTCAGATGTGGAAGAAGGAAATGGTTCAGATGAAGGAAGCGGTTCTGAACCCGAAACCGATTCAGACGAGGAAGATGCAGATAAAGATCGCAGGAAACGGAGTCAAGGCGCGGGTTCGTCGGGCGAGAAAGCACGCGCAGCGGGGCATGTGGGAACTCTGTCTAAGGACGGCGAGTCCGATTCAGACGGGGACGAAGAAACGGAAACGGCCGCAAATGGGGGGGACGAAACGCTGCCTGGGCCACCCCCCGGGGCGCCCCCCAGGGCCCCCACCCAAGTGGACGCAGAACAAGAAGAGGGGGTGTCCGAAACGGGGCGGTTGTTCGTCCGAAACTTGGCGTACACTGCAACCGAAGACGATCTTACGGAGCTGTTCAAGCAGTATGGGGAGCTGAGCGAGGTGCATTTGGTGGTTGATAAGGAGACGAAGAAGTCCAAGGGGTTCGCTTATGTGCTGTATATGCTGCCGGAGGACGCGGTGGCGGCAATGGAAAGCCTGGACCGCTCAATCTTCCAGGTGAGAGGGTTGGCTTGCTGATCTACTTTTGGCTACTCGTTTTGCCCCGCTTTTGGATCGGCGATGGGACACAAAGTCCCAGACCTTTGCGAAACAGTCGCCTGTAAGCAGTGTATGTCAAGAGGCGGGGTGTTTGGACTGATTTGCGATCTCGGCTTTGCAAACGGCCGAGTGTGCGAGCTTAGTAGGCAATACGACGGACCTTGTATGGAAGCTTTCGCTGGCTGGTATTCGCTGTTCTGTTTTGGCACACTGACGATCCTGAAATACGGGTCCATTGTAGCCAAACTTCAAGGGTCAAGATCCAAACCGGGTAGGTCATCTTTCTCGGTTTCGCCAAATGGACATGTTTGTTGCCTTTCTCTATTTCCCCCTCTTCTCTAGAACCCTGAACTCTCGTCCCCATGAGCCCTATATCAAACTTTTACTCTTGTTATTTCGCAGGGGCGTCTTCTGCACATTCTGCCCGCCCGCCGGCCCCCCTCCCTCCCCGACAGCCAAAACGAACCCCCCAAACTGGGACCGGGCAAGAGCAAGGTGCAAGCGGAGAGGGAGGAGCAGAAGAAAGCAAACGAGGCGGCTGGAGACACCAGGGCCTGGAACAGCCTCTTCATGAATGCGAATACGGTGAGTAATAGTTGCACTTTATAGGAGCTCTGTGGGAAGGTTCATGGGGTTTAAAAACTAGGGAGCGCTTTGAAAGAGCAAGCGAGCTGTCGAAGTTGGTAGGAACGGTACCTCAGTCTGGAAAAGGTAGGGGCGTCTCTAGTCTGAACCAGAATGGAGTCGTTGGGCCTTCCAAGACAGCATTTGAGTGCTGATTGCCGTCAAGACTCCAGCGAGCGACGGTCACATTTTTTGAACAATCTGGAAGAGACAAGAATGCCATAACGTTGTTGGTCGTCCGGTCAATTGACCGAGTCATTTAGCTGCGTTTAGTCTTCTGGGACGTTATGAAAAGCTCTTGGACAACCTGAGGTCGTGACGCTCTTGGGCGACTACGAATCCCAAGTACACGCCCCGAACAGGTTCTAACAATCGGTAGTCCCCGACAGCTTTTAACAGATTGCAGTCTGCGCAGTTTTGAAGGTTCTGGAGCAACCGTAAGCCTTTCTGGCACTGGGCAATAATCAATCACGTCTTCACAACCCACATTCATGTTCGGAGGAGGACGTTTTTGGGGATCATCCGACAAGAGCGGACGCTTTCGGACGGGTCGCGGAGGGCATTGCTATGCGGTGGGGCATATCAAAAAGCGACCTTCAGGGTTTGAACACTGATTAACGATCAGGCCCCTCTTTTAAAACAAGCAGCTTAGAATGGGTATATTCGGACGCCTTCTTGGAAGGAGAACCCCTTGGGTCAAAGTCTAACTAGAGCGGACGTTTTTTAACAGGTGGCGGAGGGCATCGCTCAGCGCTACGGCGTTTCCAAGAGCGAGCTGCTGAGCCCCGAGGCGGGCGACCTGGCCGTCCGAATGGCGCTCGGAGAAACGCACATCATTGCGGAGACGAAGAAAGCGCTTGAAGAGCAGGGGGTCGATGTGGGGGTGCTGGAAAGGTGAGTACCGCGGACAACCGTTGGCGCATTTTGTTTCACGGACCAATTTTCGTACGTTGTGTTGGCTCAGAGGGTTTGCGAGGACCAGCAGTGTCCGCTAATTTTGTCTCTGTTTACTTGTCGGTTCTACATGAGTCGCCGGAGATGCAGACTGAGGCTTGGGTCAGCTTGTTCGCTTGGAGGCTTGTCGGCCGCCTCTTGAAACGCATGGCCGTTGACCTACGGCGTGTCGGTCTTACGCGCGCTTCCACTCTCTGACGGCGGAAAAGTTGAAGCTTTCTTGAACAGCTTGAGCTTTCGTATGCATTCTTTGGTTGATTGTGATGAACTTCAGTGCGAGCACACACTGGCTGGTCACTGATCAGCTAGCCGCATCGCATGCCAGTATGCGCTTCGTTTGTCTGCCAACTTATGTTCCTTATGTCGCGTGCGGACGAAAACTGCTGTGATCTTGAAAACGTTGTCGTGGGACATGTCCCACACGGCGACCAGATGCCAGGAATCTGGGTTTTGTAGTCGCTCGCAAAAGCCACGTGGGCTGATTCGCAGCGATGGGCAGTCGATGCAAGCTGTTAAGATGTCGCCGCGGACCACATGGAAGTAGACGCACTCTTTAAATAGACTGATGTATTCCTCTAAAGTCTCATTTCTCCTCCGCGCAGGATGGCCACGGCTAAAGGCGAGGCCGCCCCCAAGCGCAGCGCCCACGTGCTCCTCGTCAAGAACCTGCCCTTCTCCACGACGGACGAGGAGATCGAGCAGCTTTTTGAGCGCTTTGGGAGCCTCGGGCGGGTCGTTTTACCGCCCACCAAAACTGTGGCGCTCGTCGAGTTCCTGGAAGCTGCAGAGGGGAGAAAGGCTTTTAAGGGGCTGGCATACAAGCGCTTCAAGTGAGTGGACGTTGAATGTCTTGTCTTTCTCTTGTTTCGTCGCCCGCTTTTCTGCCTCCAAAAGCAGAAAGGGCCTCCTGCTTTTGGAGGCCCTTTCTTGTATTTGCGGTCTCCCTTTGTCATTTTCCTATTCCCCGCGCTTAGGCTGTAAGGAGGAAAAAGGTAAAGTGCTCTAGAGCTTCGATTGTGACAATCATCTGACGACTGCTTTTACGGAGGGTTAAAGAGTGTCTTGGGAAAGTACACGGTCGCGGTTTGGGTTCCTTGTCCAGTTTTGACACAGTTTCTTTTGCAAGTCATTGGTCCCTGCACGATACAAGATTCTGACCCCCACAACAATCAGGTGGTTACCCTCGCTGATCGTCCCTGGACGGCAACAGCTATAGGCATGCTTTATAATATGAGACTCAGACGTATCATGCCCCGTTCATGTCGCTTGAAAGACGGCCTGTAAGAACCTTGCAGCATATTGGATCTGATTCCTCATGTTGTACCAATTCACTGAAGTGACGTCTATTCTCACAACTGCTGATGTCATCGTCCCTGCAGGCACGTGCCCTTGTATCTAGAGTGGGCGCCTGAGGGAATCCTGTCAGGAGACAGCGGCGCAGCACGAGACGCGGCTGAGAAGCGGAAGGGAAAAACGGACGGTCCGAGAGCGGTCAATGGAGGGACAAAGGTTGGGGCGGAGAAAGCGGAGGTGGCAAAGGTTTTGCCAGAGGACGAGGAGGCGATGGACGAGCAGGTGAGGAGCCCGAGATGGAGGAAGTCAAGAAGAGTGTTAATGAAGTCTGTTTCCGAGAGGAAGTTACACGGTCAAAGGGGTCGCCAACCCTAGCAACTTGGTGTACCAATTGTCTAATCTTCGTTGGATTGTGTAGCGTTCTTGTCTTATCTGCTTTGGATGTTGTTTTGCGGCTTTATCCTATCTGCTTCAGAAGGTTGTCCGCGCGTCCCTAGTTGAAGCGCAATTTGCAAAGCTTAAGCAGATTGGAAGGTCTTCCAACCAGTTCTCTTTCCGACACATGCATTGGACGACGTTCACTTGCCCTCGGCGAGTAGTGCTTTGGGAAGGGAAGCTTTTAAAGAGAACTTACAAGCGATCAGCTGGTCCTCTTGACTGCCTCTATCTTTCCTTCGTACTTGCAATCGATGATGCTTGTTCAGTGAACGCCTGCGGAACGTCCTGATGAAATCATCCAACAGGCTGCTGAGCGATCGGCCAGATACCTCGGGAATGCTTTCACCCTTACTCCTCAGACGTTTTGGGTGCACGTCAACACTGCAACGGAAGACTTGTGAGGTTTTACCACTTCACGGCAACCATCTAACGAATGTTTCCTCTTCTCCTCAGACCCACTCGGTATTCGTCAAGAATTTGGCTTTCAGCACCACGGAAGCGGCGCTCAAGAAGCACTTCTCCAAGGCGGACGGCCTGCGCAGCGTCCTGGTGAAAATGCGCCCGGCCAAGAACGGCAAGGCGCTCTCCATGGGCTTCGGCTTTGCGGAGTTCGCTTCGGCGGAGGCGGCGCGGAAAGCGATCCAGGAAATGCAGGTGGGGGGTGCCACGTGGATCTTGCGTCACTTGATCTGGTGGTTTATGTCTTCGTTGTCCCTTCCAGATTTTCGTGTTTCCTTTTTTCCCCCATAGAAAATAATGAACGTCTTTTTCCGCGTAAATCCACCCAGTGCAGGAACTCTTTGGGTCTATTACTCGGTCCTTAACTGTCTTGCATGCGAGTTTGTTCGCAATAGTGCTTTGTTGGCAAAAGGATGATGTGTTGGCAGCTTGCATGCTTCATAGTGCTCGTCGGCCAGGTTGGTAGTGATTTGCTCAGGAGAGTGCGCAAAATCTCTCAAAGCATTTCTTAAGACATTTTCCGGGACTACAGGTTTGGAAATAAAGGTTTTGACCGCTGTTCTTCGATCGTTTGCAAGTCGCGCAGCAGTAATCTGCCGCCGCAGATTCGGCTGCGAGCAGCAGGAAGGCAACTGGCGTCACTCTCCAACGTTCAAGATTGTCTTCCTTTACTTGGTTGATCTTTCTTGGCTGGATGTCAAGAGCCTTTGTCTCCTCATCAGAGCTCCATAAAGCTGTCGTTTGTGTCGAAGGGTTCCAAAGAGTCGACGTTCCGAGAGATCCCAACAAAGAAGGGAGGCTAGCAAGTGTGCTTACCCAGCTTTTGACACTACCTTGCAGGGGTCGCTGCTAGATGGTCACGCGCTGGTCTTGCAGCTAAGCCACAAGAAAGCTGGTGTCAAGGAGGGGGCCGACAAGAAAGAATCCAAGAAGACGAAGGCGAGCTCGACAAAGATTATCGTACGGAATGTGGTGAGTACCCTAGACGTTGCGATTTCAACGTCCCCATTCAATTCAAGAAAGCCATCTTGTTGGGTTAGCCCATTGAATGATCTGATTGCGTCCTTGTTGAAGTTTTTTGAGACGATTTGGAAAATTACTGTGAGCCCAAGACAGGTAGGGAGTTGAAAGTACTCGTAGATGCAACCCGCGTGCAACAATCGCAACCAAGGAATCAGTAACCCTATTCTGCAGCCCGGCAGTTGAAGGCAAAATCACAACTTAACCATTGCCACTTTACTTGTCGTCTGACAACATACCTTTTCTGCTTGTCACCACTTTGTTACGTCAAACCCGATCTTTCTGCTGACTTTATATCCTGCCCCTCCATCACGTCCTTGCACTTCTCCGTCGCCTTAAGCCAGGCGTTCGGAGGCGACCAAGTGTAACGTCAGAATCCGATCTTTTTACTCACTCCATATCATGCGGCGTCTCCTTGCACTTCCCCTCAACCCAGTCCCTAACCTGTCTCCTTAATCCAGGCGTTCGAGGCGACCAAGAAGGACGTGCGGCAGCTGTTCAGCCCGTTCGGCCAGATCAAGAGCCTGCGCCTGCCCAAAAAGTTCGACGGCAGCCACCGCGGTTTTGCCTTCGTCGAATTCGTGACCAAGCAAGAGGCGCAGAATGCGTTCGATGCGGTGCGGGATACGCATCTGTACGGGCGCCATCTGGTGAGGCTTGCGTCTCGTGCCTTTGGCTTTCTTTGAATTGGAGACCCAACACGGGCCTGTTGCGGCGACTTCAGAGCTGCAACTCTGGCGCCAAGCAATCCCTGAGCTTATACACTGCTAAGGAGCTGGTTGGAGAAGAGAAGAGCTGATGGATTGCCTTGAATTGGTGCTGCCTCAAACCTTGTAAGCTTGTAACGAGGACTTTTGCGTGGAGAAACCAGGAAAACTGTAGCGCGGCCGGATATGACAGTCCTTCCATGTTTCCGTGGTCGCTAGTGCAGTATTTGCGCCTTTGTGAAGTTGCAAAGATAACTGGTCGTGAAGGAGTCCTTTCATGACCAGGATGCGACAATGTTCGACAAGGGATAACAAGCCCTTGACTTGACTTTGAATCTTTCTGTCTGGCCATCTAAACAATCCGGTTTTCTGATCGTTCTCTTAGAAAATGACTGGAGGTTTGGGGCCGCTGCTTCATTGACAGCAATTTTTCCTACTGTCGTGTTCTACAGCTATGGAGTTGGCGACTGGCTTCGTGACTGCATGTAGCTTTCCCGTTCCTGCTGACTCCTGGACTACGGATCTTACGGCCTACTGATCGTCAATAACCCACGGCCCTAACCTTTCTGTTTCTTTCAAGCCGACCCCAACCTTTCTCGCCTCCTCTTCCTTCTTGACGTCCCCGAGGTGCACATTCTCAAACCCAATGCCGCTATGATTCTCGGCACCGATACTTGCGGCTGTGTCCAACCGAGGTTGTTGCATTTTTTATAAGCACGAGATGCTGACGACATCGGTCCACGTGGCAGGTATTGGAGCAAGCCAAGGAAGGGGAGGGCCTCGAAGAGCTGCGAGCGCGCACTGCCGCCCAGTTCAGGGACGGGAGCGACCAGGGGCGCCCGTCAAAGAAGATCAAATTGTCGGA